ATATAGATATAAAGTTGTCAATGAGTCAATGAGTCAATGAGTCGTTATTATGGAGAGTTGTTTATCAATTTTAATATTAGTTACCTATTAATTAATATTTGAAAGTTCGTGAATTTAAACACGTTTATATATATATATATATATATATATAATCCTTTTAATTTAAGAATTTCAAGTTGTGATAACTATTGTTGTCTCCATTTAGCAAAACAATCAAATTATAATGTATAAGTGTGTACATTAATGTAATAAATATGTACACAAAGCCAATACATGAATAATAGTCTCGGAAAAATGGAGCGATGGTGAAAACTAAATTAGAGTGTCGCTCTCGTTTTTACATTATTTGATTCGAAATAATTAATTAATAAAAATAAAAAAAGGCGGTGATGTTGTACGAGGGGCAATGATGTTTGCCAAGCTGTTTGCCGCTGCATTCCTTCCGCGGAACACATACGATGAGAGGCACACGTCGAATCGGGGACGCAAATGATGTGCGACTAAAATCTCAAATTATTTACGACTAATAATCTATAAAAATGAATTATTTATTATCGAAAGTGGAAATAATTAATAACAATAATAATATAATAATTTATAAGGTAAAATATACAAATAGTTTTTTTTGTTGAGTTTTCATATCATTAAAAGTTATAAAATAATTTATTAATTATATAGTGATGTTTTATTGAGTCATTCGAACATTAAAAGTTATAAAATAGTCCATCGATTATTTATATATTTCAAACTCATCATTTTTCTTTAAAAATTATCGATTATCTGAGCTAGACGTTAATCTATTAATTGAGATATAATAAAAATATATTTTAATGATGTATATTGTCAATGTTGTTGCTTTCAAACACTAGCTCAAATACATAATGTTTCAAGAACTAACTCGACAACGTAATCTAAATAGATAGTCGACCCACAACATACAACTCAAAGCATTATGGAATCATATTTTATCATATTACAATCAACATGTTAACGTCCACAACTCAGACGACCACCAATTTTTTAAGGGAATATGACAAGTTTAGAACATATGAATAATTTGGTGGCTATTTTATAACTTTTAATAGTCGGAAATCAAACAAAACATTGTCCTATAGTTGAGGGACTATTTTGTAACTTATAATAGTCGGAGGAATTCAAAAAGTAACACCATATAGTTGGGGGACCATTTATGTATTTTATACTAAATTATATAATTTATCACTCAAATAAATAAAAGGCTGTGGAACCCACTCACTTAACCATGTCAGCTGGCTGTCTTGTTCCCATATTAAAAGCCGTGTACTCTAAAGAAAAACAAGAAGAATAACAAAAACAGAGAGCAAATTCCATTATTTTCCCCTTTTCTTTCCCCCAACAAAAGCAACAATTCAACTCCTTAATTTATTATTTTTATAAAAAAAACACCCCATTAATTTAGTTTCCACAACTGTAATTACATTTTAAGGGCGCTTTTACTATGGTTACTCTGAACTCATCAAATGATTTATCAATAGTTTTATATTTTTAGGAAAATTGTAATTTTTTAATATACATATCAATTTTATAATTTGAATTTAAAATATATAATCAATCTTTTTAATAATATTATTAGAGGTATATAACCCAGTAACTCTTATTTTCAGTTTTGCTTTTCTTGAGGTTAACCGACAGTCACCGAGTTCCGGGGGAGTCGAAGCCGGTTGATGGGTCAGACAAGAATGCAGGATCTATGGCCCGTTTCTGACCCGTCTCGTGACTCGAGAGCATGCTAACCGACAGCTGTGTTTTCCTTTTAGATGGCGTCAAACCATGAGAAGCTGACACGCGTACTCACAAATTTTATTTAATACATATTTCGATTGGACAGCTCTTCTGCTTCCTCTTTTTCCTATGATTAATATTAAAACCCCGTTTTGCCCTGGCAGTGCTGTGCTGTTCTATTTTACTTTCATTCTAAATAAATATAACTATTCTTAAATTATAATTTAAAAAATAAATAGTATTTCTCGGAATTGTGAAGCAAAGGGCTGGTTGGCTGGGTTGGGTGGTGAGGGAAGTGGGGCCCAAATTTATGGATGGGTGTGGGTAGTGTCCGGTAAGAGTCAGGATAAGCTTACCAGTTGACCAGTAATGGCATGCCATGTCACCATCGTTGCAGAAAAAACGATATTTTTAATAAAATCGGTTACTTTATCCGTTAAAAAATTGTGCTCAACTGTTTATATTAATTGCACAATAAATTTTCAACCACTTCTATATCAATGCTTTAAATTATTTTTAAACTCTTGATTAGGGGGAGAGTATTCAATTGGTTTGAGTCAAAATATTTCGAGTGATTTGAATTAATAAATTATATTTATTATCTCAAATTTTATATGAAAATTTTTTAGTTGAATTTATGAAATTTCAGTTAAGTTGTTTATGTTTGAATTTAAGGGTATACTATACATTTAATCACCAAACTATCACTATAGATCCATTTTTTTGTATAATTTCGTTAAAAATTAAATATAATTGCTAATGAGATAATTTTTTCTATGTTTTTTTTCTAATAATGACATGATATTATCTTATGGTGAAATATTAATATTATCGTTAATTTTAATCAAATCAATTTAAGATTTTACTCAAATTTTTTTTATAAAAAAGGTTTTACTTAAATCACTTTAAAACCCATAAAATTGAACCATAAAATCTTAAACTCATGAAATTCTAGACCACTATAATTTATAATATCCACAATATGATCAATATGGAATCAAGATAGCTTGCTTCCTCCTTCTCTACCTTTTCACGTTGAAATTAAGAAGAATATGATTCAGAAATCAAATGAAATTTAAAAATAGAGTTTTTTTCTTTTATAAAAATAAAGAAAATCTGTGATCATGCCGTAAATTTCGTCAAGTATTCAATGACAATGTGATCAAGATAAGAACAAATGAAAAGTTCAGTGAGTAAATAAAAAACTTTTAAATTCTAATTACCAAAATAGTAGTAAGAAGAAAATTGAGTTGTGAAATTTGTAATTTACAGATAAAAACACAAGTTAACCCAAAAAAATTCAAGAAAAAGGAGAATATGTTTTGTAAAGCATGTACAACATGTTCTGATGCTCCACGCTGTAATTATTGCTTTACGTGTAGGATACGAAAAAGTAAATAAATAATAAATACCTCTGCCAATTCAAACTATACAATTAATAATAAATAATTCTTCATTTGATAAATGAATTATTTTTTGTATTTCTATTTTTTTCATTTTAGGTAAAATCAAGTAAAAGGTTTATATATTTTTACTCTAAATATAAAACAATATTACGTTGGTATAACTTATTAGGGCTGGTGACTTGTATAACTCTCTTTATGCTTCCGTGAAATGTCTGTGCAGTAGTTGGGCAATTAACCTTCCTTTTTGGTAATTGTCGCCATTAAAATATTAAATAAACAGTTAAAATTTTCATGCTATTTGTTATTTGATGATCGACGTCGAAGGTGCCTCGAAGGCAACGCAATATGTATTGCTGCGCTTTGATTTCTACTTCAATGACTTGTCATATTTAACAAGACTTGCATTTACATAAAATAATGGCTAAAATTTCATACTTAAAAAAGTTTAACTGACATTTGATTTTTAAAAATTTAGAAAATAAATATTTATAATAAATATATCAAAATCTAAAATATATGGTAGTTTTAAATCATTGTGTACACGAACACATGCAATTTTTTATGTTAAGAGTGAACCTCTAAAATTTTAAGAGTATTAAATTTATAAAATTTTAAGGGATGAAAACAGATTTTTAATATAAAAAACATATAAAATATATGGTAGTTTTAAATTTTCATAGGGCGATTACCCCACTCGCCTCCCCTCGGTATATGTCCGGTTGTGTATGACTCTAATAGATGTTGATATATCCTTTAATTAAATTAAATTCACTTTGACTTAATAAAATAGAATTGTGTGAATTACGAATCTATTAAGTGATCTTGGTGATAAAGATGATGTTATTCCTAAAAGAAATTGGTTAGAGTAGCTGTATTCTATAGGGTATGTATAATTGTTACTGACTAAAAATATTATGAATAGTTTTTGAAGTCAAAATGATTTAAATATTTATTATTTTTTTTAATAACACGGGGTAATTATAAAGTAGTTGTATATCCTCATAAATTTCTTAAATTATTGACAATGTTGAATGCATACATACCCTACATATATCATTACTCGAACATATAATCTTTAAGGAGATTAATAATTCATTTTAACATTAAGTTCAATCGATGGGTTGAAGAATTTAGTGATTAAATTAATATTTTAAGAATACACATGACATGTGGGAATTAACATTTTGACTAATTAAAATGTAAATTAGATGATGAACCCAGTAGTTTACCTTAATCCATTTATTTGGGCTTTTATCGAAATGATCGACCCACGTTATTGACACTATAGGGCTTCTCAATATAAGCAAACAGCCCATGCCACTTATCTTCTAATTTATGATATTCTCTTCTATGCTGCTTAAATAATTTTTCACCTAAATTAATTTCTTATTGTTAATTAAGAATGTTTGAAAATATCTGATTTGTGACACCTGACTCGTTAATCAGTATATTTGGTAAAAAAAATTAAAATATATCTTTTAAATTTTATGTTTGGATTATGTAATTTAGATTTATAAATTTTATGTTTGGATTATATAATTTAGATTTATAAATTTTACGTTTGGATTATCCAATGTAGACGTTTAAATTTTATGTGCGTCTATATAAATATTTTAAAATTATTTGATTTGTGAAAAATATTCACACGACATATTTTTATAAGTATTTAAATAAAACTACTAAAACGCATCGTGTAAGATTTAAACATATAATTAAAAAGTTTTAAGCATAAACCTTTTACTCTCAGCCTATAATCATTTGATAATTTGATTTTAGTAAATAAAATTATTTACATAAAATCGAAATTCACCAAATCTCTTCCCCTTTGTTTCTCCACTTCAATACCCTGTGGGATATTGACAGTTCCCAAATACTGCAATTCAAGGTCATGGAAAACGCATTAGTTTAGACAAAAAAAATAACAGCAGTTTATGTATTAATTTAGAAAAAAAGATCCTTATATATAGATTTATTTACTTTAGTATCATATATTATATATAAGATTTAAAGTTTAATAATCTAACTATTAAAATTCAAGTACATAAAATTATATAAAGTTTAGTTTATGTAATGCGTGTATAAAAAAAATTATTCTAAATTTTGACGTTGTAATCAACTTACATGGAGGTTGCATGGACACATAAGCCGCGCCGTCAAAATAGCACGAGCCACTCACACGTGCCTTCTTTTGATAGTAACTATTGAAGGCGTACGATGCATGTGCCTCGAGAGAATCAGGATTAAAACATGCACCGTTTGATTGAATTGGGCCGCAATCGGCTCCTCCCTCGCCACAAGCATAATCCAACGCCTCCTGCAGCTTCTGCCGGTCGGTATTATGGTTGGACAAGCACCATGTCTGACCTAATATCTTTGTCATTCCGCCGCTGGATCGACTACCGTTAATCGTTGACGGTGGTCGGCTTCCACTTTTTCCGCTGTTCATCGGTGGAATGAAATTACCGTCTAACCCTTGTTTTGATAATGGTATATTATATACCCTTTGCATATTAGGGTAAAATAACCCATAGTTTCTTTCGGATGTGGGACCCGGCTTTTGATTCTCATTAAACAAAGCAAATATGTAAACGTTTAGTGGATCCTTGGGTCTCAAAGGGGTACCATTTCCGGTCATTACTCTTCGTACTAAGTTACCATTATACGTCGCCGCATTAGCTTGGCTTGCACCGGTTTCAGCCACGTCCCCGGCCGAAGGCCACCCTGTCTCCGTCACCACCACCTTCATGTCATCAAATTTAAGAGCCGACAAGGAGGCGAAAACGGCGTCGAGTTGAGCATCGAAGAGGCTATTGTATTTAACCCCGTTACCGGAATCAACCACACCGGGATTTTGTTTAAACAAAGCGTAATCGAGTGAGATTTGGTTCGAGTTACCTTCGTATGCGAAAAAAGGGTAAATATTAACCATAAGGTACGACCCGGTCTGTTTCAAGAAATCCAACATGGGTTTAATCGCAACATCCACAAGTTCCTGTTTGAATGAACCGGCCGATGAAGGGTAAGAGTTCCCCAAGCAAGTCATAGCTATAGGGGACGAGACTTTGATGTTTGAATCCAACTTGAATTTAACAAGTGAGGTCTGGATGGCTTTCATGGCGGGTACGAGGAATTTTGTCTCGTCGGTGACGTTGGCGGAGATAATTTCGTTTCCGATAGCTATGGCTTCGATCTTTGTCGCGGGATAGTACTTTGAGATGCTGGTTTGAACCCAATTGTCCGCAAACGACTGATCGCCTGCAGCCGAGGCGAGTTGCTCGTTGGGAAGACAGACAACTACGCTGATCCCCGAGTTTTTCAACGCCGATAGGACCGCCGGGTCGGTGTCGAAAATCTTCACTTTCGTTACACCCTGAGACTTTAACAGTCGCACGACTTTGTCCTGTGATGGCAAGTTGTTCGCCACTCGACCATAGTTAATTCCGACCGAACCAGCTGCATCTGCCATGACAAAACAAAACAAAACCATGAGTTTTTCATGTTGGAATTCAGACATAGAAAAAAAAAGTGTGGGTTTTAAGTTATATATATATATATACCTGAAACAGCAATGGCTGAAAGTAAAAGAATGAGAATGGAGAAAGCGTGGGAAGCCATGATCAAATTATATTTGATAGAAAAATGGATATCAACTTAGTTATTTATATATAGAGTAGGGTTAGTGGGAAAAGAGGAGAGTTTAAGGTTGAAATCTAATGAAAGCCACCAACCTAACCCTTTTCTCGCTACTATTTTTAGGTTAGTTTTACTTGGGTCGACATACTGTTTCTTTGTTGTTATTATATTTTTTTTAGTTTTTACATTAGTTATATTATTTTAAAAATTATTGAAATTCATATTTATGAAAAGATAGGATCATGTTATACAATATAAAACTCTTTTAGTTTTATATAGATTTAGGACTATTGGATGAGTGAAAATGAATGACTCAGATTAACAATAGGAAATGAGAAGATTTAGGACCGTTGGATGGGTGAAAATGAATGACTAAGATTAATAGTAGGAAATGAGAAAATATTTAATGGGGGCAAAAAATAAGGAGTCAATATCAACCATCTATTTTCACTCATTTAACAGTTCTAAATCTATGTAAAATTAAGGAGTTTTGTAAGATAATACTAACCCATTTATGAATAAGAATAGTTAAATTAGTATTTGATAACAATAGATGAACGAAAAATATCTAAAAATTTTCATCGACGATACAAATGTGAAATGAAGATCATCATCAAAGTTAACTCTATTTGCCTATCTTCATTCCCAATAAATCAATCCTCTAGGTGGGTAAGGTAATCAATATTCAATCTTTATAAACAAAAAAAGAACATTTGATTTTAATATGATAAAATGTATTTTGAAATCATTTTTAAATAATTAATTTAATTGATTAAATACTCCTTAATAATAACCGAAATTAAGATTAAGGTATAAAAATGTAGGATAGGGTATAATTGCAAGTGAAGGCATTAGTGGGATAGGAGGATAATATCATGATTTATTGCCCACCCCATTAACATTATCATTTTAATTAATTTATTTCATTTTTGTAGGGTTTGTATCCAATGGGTTCATACTATTACTACCGCATTAGCTAACTAATATTCCAATTTGATATGATTGATTCAACCGTTTACTTTGTTTATAATTGCATACAGATGACTTTTGTTTTATATAAAAAACAAATTTTCAAATAAAAAGATATAAGTTTCAAATTCAATGTATGTTTTCTTTTGTGTGTATTTATATAAAAAAATCTTTAATTAAAAAAGATATTATGAGTTTTAAAAGTTAAATAAATTATTTCTTAATGTCAATATTATTAACATTTTATATATTTTTCGATAGAATTCAAATATATATTTTTCATTTTTGTGATAATTGATAATTAATTAAACAAATAATCATTTTTGCTAAAAATGTCTAGTTTCTGTCAAAAGAGAAATTAATACGGGAGAGCTAAGCAAAGAGTAAGGAAGCAGTTTGCTTGGGTTGATCGTTTGAGTTTTGAATGCTTCAATAAGTGTAGTCTTAAGGCGTAAGAAAAAATTCCTATAATGGCATTTTGCTATTGGGTCAAGAAAGGGATATTTGCAATAGACAACCCTAACCCTATCGAAAGCTTTTATTAGACCCATTTGTTTTGCTCACATCTCACCCCTTCCTATTAGGAGGATGAAATTTGAAGTTTTCACATATCACATTTCTTGTTTTCACACAATGGATTCATATGTGGATATGTCACACAATGAATCTATTAAGTGAATACAAATGATAACTTAAATATTGAGACAAAAATGAGAATACATTAAATTTTAATTTTTATTTAGTTTCAACCATATATTTAGATATTATCATTTATTCATACGTGGATATGTCATACTAATATTTTAATTCATGTGGACTACTTAGTTAGAAGACGCGTTGACCGTTAGTCAACTAATAATTTACATCCTAAAAATAGTTATTTTGACTCAGAATAAGTGATGCGAACTAAATGATTCAAAAAAGAAAAAGAGTTAAAGTAACTATTTTATTAAATGTTAGAATAAATATTGGCATATTTTATTAAAGGTGATTAAATTCATTCAATTGGATTAAATTAAGATCAAATAGGTAAATTTTATAACTGATGAGGATCAGACGTGTAATCCTAACTATCACATCGGCACTTCCTTTAAAAAGTTATTAATCATCAACTTAATTGATACTATTTAAAAAATTATGTGATTGATTAACAAAAATTTTAATTCGTAATTAAAACATAACCACCCTTATAGTTTAGTGACTATGTAATAATAATGAAACCCAAAAGTCTCTTTCAAGTATGGAGTAAATTATATGTTGGAAAGTTAAGGCCAATTTGAATGGTAAAGCCAGATATAGTTTGGGCCAAGGATTGGTCTACATGTTTCCTTTCTTGTTTTATTCACTGGACATGTAAGCTCCGTTTTGTGAACCCAACAGAAGTTTAACATTTCGTCAACTTCAATCTGAGGCACAGTTTTATTACTACTTGGTTAGTTGTGTAAGATAATCTACCCACCAAAGCTAGGTTGGTTGCATGGGATAGTCAAGTGTACCTTTTTTGTTAGTTGTGTTCCGATGAAGAATAAAGTATTGAACCATTTGATTGCTTCATATTCCTTTCTCAAGCCAGGTTTGGACATCTATAAATTATGTAGGCAGGTCAAATTAGCCAGTAAATAAACTTATGATGGAATAAATAAATTGTGTTGACGGTTCATTTCTTTTGATTTATGCGGTTGGAAATGGATGATGGAGATGAGATAGATGCAATGCGACATCAAATGGACGGTGGCATGGCCTAACTAGTTTGTTTTTAAGGTATTTATGAATTAGGATCCATGTTCCAGTATAAACGTAATCCCTCTGAAACTATGTGCTCTCTTAGCTGCCTCTTGACACTGGATGTTTCTTCCAAGTAATACAAACAAGGATTCGGCTGGCTGTGGCCGATACATACAGCTTGTTGGAGTATAAAATCCATGTCGGAAGTGGATTCGGATTTCCGTGTGAAGTCTGAGCTCCGCATTTTGATCTCAAATGTTACTTGTTTGAATGAAACATCTTGCTTTTTCCTTAGAATAAGTATTATATATTTAGTTTGATAGAGCCGTTTGAAGTGCATGTGATTGTTTACAGTTTATGGAAGAACAATTCTTTGTTGATTGTTGACAATGATTCAAAACACCAATTTAAACAGTTTCCTTAATAATCATTACTCGAAAATGCGGAAGACATTTTATAGTTTCCCTCTGTTAACAAGGCTAGTAGATAGTGAACACTTAACTGTAGGCAGAATCTTGAACCGGACACTTTTCATCAACTTCAACTCTCTGCAGGTGGTTGATCATTGCCTGGGGGTAGAGGCGACCCTGGAGGGCAAACCCCAGGAGGGTGAGGAGGGAACGGTCTTGGTGGATGAGGAGGGAACGGCCTTGGTGGATGGGGAGGGAACGGTTGTGGTGGATCAGGAGGGAACGGTCGTGGTGGGTGAGGAGGGAACGGTCTTGGTGGATGGGGAGGGAACGGTCGTGGTGGGTGAGGAGGGAACGGTCTTGGTGGGTGGGGAGGGAACGGTCTTGGCGGATGGGGAGGGAATGGTCGTGGTGGCCATGCATATCCACACATCCCATACATGCACGGAACTCCCCACGGGCACTGGTTGTCGCAATTACCGCAATGCCGAGGACTAATGTTCGTATTAATACATATCCCCCTACAACATCGCCAAGTAAACGGGCATCTAAGCCCGCATAACCCGCAGTGAGCATCATCGGAAGAAACATCAACACATCGATTCCTACAACACCGCATCCGAGCTGTGGGAGGATGTTGCCCTTGTTCACATATCCACGGCGTGAACATGCATCCACCGGGTCTCGGCCTCGGATTCGCTACATTCCTGAGCCACGGTGACCCTCCATCAGCACTCGCATTCGGTAGCACCCGTCTTGCTTTTACATTACCTTCTACCGTCACAATCTGCAATAACAGCAACAGTTGCAGAAAGACAACAACCGAAGCTTTGGCAAGCCAGTTCATTTGAACACTCTGCACAAAACTGGTAAAAAACCTGTGAAGATGTACACCTATATATACACACACACAACATAAAACATCAGTAAACTTGCAAGATTGATTTTGATATTCATGTGTTTCTTACACTATGTCATGTAACAAGAAGTCGTACTTGTTAAACTATTTGTGGTTAAGGTGTGTAAGGGCGTGAGCAGTTTTGCTTTAAACAAATATAATTATACAATAATGTTTCGTAAAATTGGAAAAAAGGGTTCCTTTTTCCTGCTGATCTGGGGATCCTCATATGGTAAACCTGAATCCATTCCCCCTCAAACCATGTTTTGCAGTCTCCAAAACTCCTTTCGTCACATGCTTTGCCAAACTCTTTAATTGGGACAGCTGATACGCAAACGTAATTAATCCCCTAAATTAATTATATAGAAGGATATCATATATTTAAATTTATTTAATTTATTTAATTTTATCGATTAAATCGGAAACTTTCACTTTTATACAATTATATTTTTATCATATTTTCAATATTTTATCATAATTAATAACATCATTGATCAATATTGGTATACCCTTTCAGTAAAAACATAATCTTATTTAAGAAAATTAATGTAGAAAACAACAATATCAAATTTAATAATCAAAGATTGAATCATAATGTGATATCATGAACAATAATCAGTCCTCTTTGGTTTCTACAATGAATTATATCATATATGTGTATACATGCATGCATGCATATTTAATCCAAATTATTCAACAATATTTTGGCTTTTCAAAATATTTAATTTAATTTTGAGGACTAATTTAAAATGAAAACAAAATCGGGCGTTGGGTGATTAACATCAAATCTGGTGAGAAAAAATGACAAGTATATGTTTAAATAACGTGCTATAACGACCAACTATGATATTAACATATATATTAATTGACATACGTACTACTTGACTTGTTGGTATATATGTTTCAGCTAAATAATTTTTATTTGACATGCGTGCCATGGGTGGTCCTTGAATATTATGAATATTTCTTTTTTTTTTGGATAAGTAAAATTTTTATTATCTAAAGAAGAGTTCAATACAAAAACATCCCAATCAAGGAACAAAGACAAGCTATTTACTACAAAAAATGGTTAGCCTATACCCAAATTGTTACAAAGTAAAATATTAACATTATCAAGTCTATTAAGATCTCGATTTCTAAGTTGAGTACCAACAATCTCCTTTATGGAGCTTAACATTTCTTCAATCGTTCGAGCTCTTCCTTGGAAGTCTTCTGTTTCTTTCCACCCAAATAAGGAACAAAGACAAGCTATTTACTACAAAAAATGGTTAGCCTATACCCAAATTGTTACAAAGTAAAATATTAACATTATCAAGTCTATCAAGATCTCGATTTCTAAGTTGAGTACCAACAATCTCCTTTATGGAGCTTAACATTTCTTCAATCGTTCGAGCTCTTCCTTGGAAGTCTTCTGTTTCTTTCCTCCCAAATAATGTAAATGAACGCACACCAAGCAATCTCCATGATGGAAGTAAGGAGTGATTTACCTTTCCAAGTAGTAGAAGCCCATGCAAGCATATTATCCCAAGACATAGGAGGCTTGGTTAATTGAGTGAGGTTTAAAATTGATTTCCATAGAGAAACTGCCATTGCACAGTCAGCAAACAAATGGTTTCTCGATTCAATGGCCTCGTTGCATAAAACACAAGAACCTACAGTGGTAATTCCCATACGAGTGAGCCTCTCTCTAGTTGGGAGTCTATCCAAGATAGTCATCCAAGTAATAATGCTGAATTTAGGGATGTGGAGGAGAAACCAAATTAGCTTGTGCCATAGAACTTTGCCACGTTTGACCCGTATCTCTTCCCAAATGATTTTAGTATTCATTGATCCTGCATTAAGAATATGGAGAGCCTCTGTTTTTAATTTCAGAAGTCTTTTGACATGCGTGCCATGGGTGGTCCTTGAATATTATGAATATTTCTACTGGAGCAGTTTAGATGAAAAACATGCTTATACTGAATTATAGTCAAAGACCTCACCTCAACCAATAAAAAAACCCCATTGTTTTAAACAAAAATATATTTCCAAGAACCAACTAATTTAATGATAACATCTTGTGTGAGTCAAGTTATGTTGTACTGATGTTTAGGGTTGTATTCCTATCGTGACGGACATCAGAATTTATGTTAGGGGTGAATTTGTAATATTTTAGATGGAGACGAACTTATAAAATTTTGAGTAAAATACTCAAATGGTTCTTCGAATATAAGACACTGCTTTAATGAGACTCCCGACTATTAAAAATTACAAAATGATCATTCGACCGTAGGATGTTGCTTTGTTGAGTCCCTTGACTAGTAAAAGTTACAAAATAGTTACCTGACTATTCATTGTGTTCCAAACTTGTCATTTTCTGTTAAAAAATTGATGACAATTTGAGTTGGACGTTAATATGCTAACTGAGATATGATATAATCTAATCTAATCCTAAAATCTCAAACGATTATCATATCACAGTCAGTAAGTTAACATCTAGCTCAAATTGTCATCAATTTTTTTACGGAAAAGAACGAGTTTGGGACACAATAAATAGTCGAATGACTGTTTGATAACTTTTAATACTCAAGAGACTCAACAAAGTAACATCCTATAGTCAGGGGACCAATTTGTAACTTTTAATAGTTGGGATACTCAATAAAGCAATGCCCTATAGTAAGGGGACCATTTGTGTACTTTACCCTAAAACTTTAGAGATAAAAATAGATTATTAATAAAAAAATCTTAAAATATATGAAATTTTAATATTTTCAGGGGATAATGATCTATCATTGTATCCCTGATTCAAGGTTCGATCTCTATGTCTAATCATTTCTGATATGTACATATAGAACCAAATTGTGATTTTGAAACTAGCATGAACTTAAAGTATAATTTAACCATAAAAATCAAGAGTACAGTTTAATTTTATTAAAATTAATAGAGATTTAAAGTATAATTTAACTGCAAAAGTAAATAGAATTTAATGTCATAGATTTTAAAATTAGCACGAGTTTAAAGTACAATTTAACCAAAAAATCTGTTACCGAGACATGCAAGAGTTTTGGAACTCAAAATGATAATATTTAATGCTATTGTAAGATTAGACTTGGTTCCTAAATTTTCAATTTATTTTTTAGAATTATATAACTATAAATTAAAGTATTAACAAAATTATAATATTTACTCTTTTAAAATTTATATTTATATTTTAAATCCGGGAAAAACACAATTCTCTCATCATAAATAATAACCTTGGTCCATATGACATATATAAAATTTATTAAAGTATAATGGGTAAGATAGTAATTTACAATGGTTTAGACGATGAAAAAGAAAATGATCAAACTGATGATTTATGATTCACCTATTATAGTGTTGGTAGAGAATCAGGGGTAAGTTATCTTGTAAAAGTATGGAGTAAGATAATGTTCTCTCTTTGCTTGTCCCCGTGAGATATTTTATTATATGTCTTGAATATTTGATGATTATGTAATAATTTTGTGATTAAGTTAGATATACAACTGTATATGTTAAACTATTACCAATATAATACATTTACTCTATGATTTGAGTGTGAATTTGTTACATCATATGAATTTTCACTATTGGATTTCATATATGGTTTTGAGACAGAGCCCATTTAGGAAGAAAGACGTTTAGAAATTTCCTTAAATTTAGTTTAAATTCTTATTAAATAATATTTTTATTGAAAAATATTGATTAAAAATATAATTTTTAAAATAATGAATTTAATCCGTAAATTATTTGGATTGAGTGTTAATAAAGAAAATTAAAAATTAGTCACCACCCAATTTAACTTAAAATGTAATTTTTTTTATTAATTTAGAGTGATTATAAGATAGTATTTGTTTTTAAATTTATTTAACTATTTGACAATGAAAGTTTAAACACTCATACAGTCTTTCATGATTAAATATAAAAATTCTAATTCTTTTAATTACATAAATAATTTGGTTCGTGCAAAATAGGTGTGAACCCATGAAATTTGATTCTTATTGCATAAAGGTGACATGAAAAAGTTAAAAATTAAATAAAAGAAACGTTAGACTAAATTCCAATATGACAAGTGGAACATCAAATCTTTCTGACCCGAAGTTTAAATTTATTACCAAAATTTATTAACAAATATACCTGGTCATATATAAGTACATATGCAGGAGAAAAATGAAAGAGAAGGCAGGTAAAGGAAATAATATTTGAAGAAAAAGAAGCTCAAGCTCCAATGGAGGACAAAAGGCAACACTTAAGTGAAAACAAGTTTCTTCTCCACTGGAGCTGTACTCTTCTGTTATCTTTCTTGGCCATATCTCCTTCAACTCAAGCTTTTAACTACGGCGAAGCCCTTTCCAAAAGCCTCCTTTACTTCGAATCCCAACGCTCCGGCCGCTTACCCCACAACCAAAGAGCCACCTGGCGCCACCATTCCGGCCTCACCGATGGCCTCGAGCAAGGGGTAAGCTGTCCATTTCAGCCCCATATCTATGTCATATTCATGAAGTTATATATATATATGTATTGTGATGCGTGTTTTTGTATGGAAAGGTGGACCTGGTGGGAGGGTACTATGATGCCGGAGACAACGTGAAATTTGGTCTGCCAATGGCATTCACCATCACCATGCTCTCGTGGGGTGTCATTGAATACGGCAACGAGATCGCCGGTGCCGGAGAGTATGCTCACGCTCTCGAGGCGATCAAATGGGGAACTGATTACTTCATCAAAGCTCATACTCACCCAAACGTCTTATGGGCTGAGGTAAGAGCAATAAATAAATCAAACCATCTTTGTTTTGGTATATTCAATGACAATGAGGTTTCGACTAGGTGGGTGATGGCGACACCGATCATTACTGTTGGCAGCGGCCGGAGGACATGACCACATCCCGGCAAGCCTACAAGGTGGACGAGAAGAACCCTGGATCGGACGTTGCCGGAGAGACGGCTGCGGCAATGGCGTCAGCCTCCATCGTGTTTAGGAAAACAAACCCACATTACTCTCACCTACTACTGCATCATGCACAACAGGTAAACTAGTGTAATGAGGTTGCCATCTTTGTTTTCATATTGCATTTAGTATGTGCTACTGTTCACCAAAAGCATAAGGAATTAATTAATTTTATGCTTATTAATATACTGTTTGTTTTGGATAAACTATGTATTTAGTCACTTATCTATAGTTCTCATGGATCATTTTTGGTCATCCAACTAACTTTTATTAAAAAAAATCATATGTAATGTTATTTTTGGTTCCATTTTGGTAACCAAAAACACAAATAATTAACTATTTTTTAAAATCAAATTTTGTGAACAGTTGTTTGAGTTAGGGGACAAGTTTAGAGGGAAGTATGATGAAAGTGTAAGAGTGGTGAAAGGGTACTATCCGTCGGTGAGTGGGTTCAAAGATGAGCTGTTGTGGGCAGCTTTGTGGCTATACAAAGCCACCGACAATGAGGCTTATTTGAGTTATGCTTTAGACAAGGCAAATGAATTTGGTGGGATCACTTGGTCCATGAACGAGTTCAGCTGGGATGTCAAGTTTGCTGGTCTTCAGATCATTGCTTCAATGGTAACATCAAATTTTATACATTTAGGTTCATGTTCGATCATCGTGCATGTTGATAATGTGAAAGTTTCGTTTCCGATCGATTTCGGTAACATTTCATTATGTTTTTGCAGTTGTTGGTGGAAGAAAAGCATAGGAACCCGGCATCCAAGCTTGTATTATTGGAACAATATCGTTCAAAGGCCGAGTACTATTTGTGTGCTTGCCTTAACAAGAACAACGCGAGTAATGTGAAACGCACACCAGGAGGTCTATTGTACGTCCGACAATGGAACAACATGCAATACGTATCGAACGCGGCGTTTCTCCTAACCGTTTACTCTGAACATCTCCGAGCGTCGAAGCTACTGTTGAGATGCGACCGTGGCGAGTCGGGACCGGAAGAAGTTCTCGCGTTCGCAAAATCCCAAGTCGATTACATCTTGGGAGGGAATCCGAAGGCCACGAGTTACTTGGTCGGATACGGTTCAAGGTACCCTCAAAGGATGCACCATAGAGGAGGATCAATTGAATCTTATAGCGAGAAGAAGGGATTCATAGGGTGCACTCAAGGGTATGATAATTGGTTTCACAGAAAAGGACCAAATCCTAACGTTGTTGTGGGGGCACTTGTAGGAGGGCCGAGCGAGGAGGATGAATTCAGGGATGATAGGAAGAATTTCATGCAAACCGAGGCTTGCACTTATAATACAGCAAGCCTTGTTGGGGTTTTGGCCAAATTGCACTCATTTTCTCATATGTAAAAATGGTCTAACATCATGCAATCAAATCTTGTACATACAGGAAAAGATTGAATTGTTTTTACCTTCAACAGATTCAGGAAATAAATATATTTTAAATATTTTAATAATTAATATTTTGATTAAAATGATATTAAAATATTTTATTAATATTAAATTCATAAAATAAAATTATTTTGAGTATTTATTATTTGAAATGAAAAGTTTGTAAAATGACTTACGGAAAATCATACCGTAAGTCATTTTCCAGAAAACATAAAGGAAATTTTGTTGACCAAGAAAATATTTTACATTGACCAATCAGTTTTCCTCCAACCAAACATTGGATAGAGGAAAACGTTTTCCGAAAAACATTTTACGTGAAACAAATTTTCCCTAAATCTTTGTGTGATATGTATGCAATCTCTAATGTTAGTTTGGTGCATTCAAAGATTATAGGTGGATTTGGATGTATGTTGTTAACTCTTCACCTACCAATAATGTTTTGTTACTAATAATGCTCGAAAGAAAGTACAGCAAACAAGCATTTGGGTGTGTTTTTTTATTCATTAATTTTGGAATATTATATGAATCCACCTAGTCCTGTAAAACGTTTAATGAACCGTTCGACGAGAAGTTCGTTTATTTATTAAATAAACGAATATGAACAAGATTTTATGTTCGTTTAATTAAATGAACAAACACGAACAAAGGGTTCGTTCTTCATTTACGTTTTTTAACTTTCGGTAATTCGTTCATTTATGTTCGTTTGTATTCAATCGTTTATATTCAACACAATCTCCATTCCCGTTTGAAATATTAATACCTAATAAATTTGAACTTAAACCCATTAATATTTTAAAACCCAATTAATTTAAAACTCAAACAAAAAATAATCAAATCAATTAAAGAAAATATAAATCCTAAGATTATTTGAAAATAAAAAAACTCCTCTCATACATAAACCCAATTAATTTATGTTCGCTCGTTTATGTTCGTTTATGTTTGTTTACATTTGCTAATTTGTGTTTGTTTACGTTCATTCGCTTGTGTTCGTTTATTATTTTAACGAACGAACATGAACAAGCTACATTTCTTAATGAACGAACATGAACAATAAATTTCATTCGTTTAGTTGTTCATGTTAGTTCGTTTATTCGGTTAAAGTCAAAAGAACGAACACGAACATACATTCGTTCGTGTTTGTTCGGTTCATTTACATGCCTAAATCCACGGTACGCCGGCAAGGTATAAATCGAGCGGTGGGGAAATGCAAAGAGTGAATGCAGTGGGAAAATTATAAAAATTAAAAGTGATGAAAATTATCAGAACTTTTAAAAATTATAGTTTTCCTAAATAATCTATATTTTTAATATTTAAAATTTAAATTTTTTGTTAGTTTTAAATATTACATTTTTTTAGATTTTATATAATTTTTAATTTACAGGTGATAATGTGGAAAAATATCATAATGTCATGTCATTGCACCTTAATACCGTTACCCAAAAGTGGGGGCAAAGTGTGATAGAATACAAATTTATGTATTAATGTAGACCAAAAATATAATTGAAGTACTAACATGAAAAAAGGGAACTAATTCAGGTACCAAAATGTGAGGTAGTTGAAGTGGTTCAACTATATTTTGTGTTCATAACAAAGGCAGTTACCTACGTATCAAGTAAGCCAGAAAACAGAAATATAACAGCACACAACAATCACATGCACTCTTATTTATTAGCTCCAAATACACAACATTAATGGTATTTTACATGCTCCAATCAAAATACAACACCAAATCATCAACAAGCAGATTGCAGTTTTCACAATGTCCAATAACCTTACCACTGCAAACTATGTTTGCTTATTTAGGCTACCAATGCCATACAAATACATGCACAGTTATATACGCCAAACGTACATAGTAGAAACCGTAAATGGAAGGGATGGTGTTCTGTTTGCCGAATGCCGGTTCTTACAGCTGAACAAGGCATTCTTGTGTCCGGGCCACCATGGTGCGCTCGGAGCTTTTGGCGATGGTGTTCTTTTCTTCAACGGGCTCCTTAAGCATTGTGTCGGCAGTGTTTTCGATGCTATCTTCACCATTGGCAATGGCTTCGAAGATAAGTTCCTTCACTTCACAGAACCTCTCATCAGAGAGAGAAACCTCAGCGAGTAGCCTCCAAGCATTTTCATCGGATGCCTCATCATAGTCCTTCCTCCTTTTTAACACCATATGGCCGCTAATCTCCCATACAGCCGGGTTCACCTGGGTGTCCAGAAGCTCCGGACTCACTTCCCCAAGAGCTTGTTTCTCAGCATAGCACTGTTGAGTCAATCGACAAATTGGAAAGTCAATTGTTAGAACTACCAGCATCATGCGGATAATTAAGAAGTATCGATTAACTTTATTTATTACCTGTGGAAGGAGAAAGATCCGCTTTCCACAATCAGAGATGAGGACATTATATGGTATGTTGTTCTCTTGAAGGCAAATGCAGGCATCAGAGACAGTGTCGGACAAGTCCTGGAGAGTGTTACCACCCTCAAAGACAAGACCCCTGACCGGATAGTTTAAAAGCTCTGAGATGATCACTTCATCATTCAAAGTGGCTATCTTATTGGTGGGAGCTTTCTCAATGGGGAAAGGCACAGCCAAGTAGTAAGCCTGCAACGACCAAAATAGTTAAGTCACCTAAACCATAACTATATCTAACAGATATATATCCAGGAGGAACAAACCGGAATGTTAGTACCTGGAAGTGAAGGTGATTGATTGTAGCAAATGCACCCAAGCTGTTGTAACCCAATCTGAAATGCGGATTCCCGGCTTCAACTGCCATATACAGTGCAAGCAAGAGGCTCTCACGGTCGATCCTCTGAGGCAAGCATTCCAGGATTCGAGGGATCAACAGCACATGTCCATATTCAATGGGACTGACCTGTCGAATTGTATGGAAAAAAAGTTAATCCTACAAGGCTAAGACTCTTGCTAAGCTAGTTATTCTATAGTTTGAATAAGTAGACTTAAAATACATTTATGGCAACAACACTTGGAGCATTCTCAACATCAATGTGAGCACTTGGGTAGAACTGAACTTCACCATCTTCACTCGCTTCAAACTGGAAGAGAACCTCTTCTTGCCCGACCTTGGTGAAATTGAACTTGTTCCCATCAAAGGGCTGGAGAACCTTATCAACACGGAATTCAGTCGGCCTCTTCTTAAGGTGGCGGCCCTCATTCAGCTGGGCAATGAAGCCATATTCACCAGGAATCACCTAAACAACGAAAAACGTAGAATACTTTGATAGTCCTAACAACTTAGTTAACCATAAAATTTCAGCTTATTTGCAGGTAAACAATTGAAGCAAGGAAATAGGAAAGGAGCCCAAAATTGACCTTGGTTTCGCAGGCAGTAACATCATAACGAAAGAGCCCTCTTTGCATGCGATCTTCCCACTATCATAAAACCACAAAGTACATTTTAACCTCACTGTTTGTATGAAACAACGACTATCAACTATCAAAATGATCTTAATCTTATTTCTATTAGCAAAAGTTACCTCCCCAAGAATGAGTGAGTCAAGAAAAACAACAGGGGGTTCTTTCTCCTCAATTGCAAGCACATCGTTTTCACCATCAATCTTATCCATCTTCTTGAAAGCATATAAAGGAAGCTTTGCTCCTAAAAACCAAAACCCAGTTCAAGTTAAAACTTGATTTCTTCCAAAAAAAAAAAACAACGTTACATAATAAATTTAACAAATACCTGGAATGCAGCAGCTCCTAAGGCAATTCTTTCCACACCCGCCACTACGGCGAGCAGTCTCTTCCGTCTCATCCTTTTGGTAATTCGAAACAACAGTGGGAACCCTCTTAATCCTGAGCATCATCTTGCAACTACTTCTTTCTTACGAGCAGTTTATTCCTTACGAGCGATCTAAATATGCTTCTTCGGTAATAATTTTCTTTTCTTTTTTTTTTTACTTTTTTTTCTTTCTAAATACACTAGAAGCTAGCTATACTAACTACTAAGACTCTAAAAGAGAAGACCACCACCAGCAAGGAAAAGGAGATCGGAAGGACTACCGCCTTCAGAAGGCAAAGCTCCACGCCCACCGTGCGGCGAAGGGTTGCTCTCGATCACACAACTCTTACGTCGTACAGTTCGGGCATGACTAAGAAGCCGGTAAACTCTGTGTATAGCCGTGATGTCCACAATTTGTCTACCCAGGGTATTACCCCCCAAAACGAAAACCCACAATTCAAAAACACCTGCAAACTAATTTAATCAAACACCCAACCTCTTTAGCTTCAAAAAAGGACGAGGTTTGCTAAAGAGAATAAAAAAGAAAACCCAAAGCTCAAAAACTTTTTTTTTCCTGATTTTCTTGGTGAAGGAAAGCAGAAGAGGAAAAGGGGATATATAGATAAGAGGGGAGTGAAGGAGAAGGCAGGTTGGGGTAGTTTTTTGTGTGTGGAAGGATTGAAGGTATACAGTTGTGAGTAGTAGGTACCATACAAAAGTAAACAAAGCTGGTGGCCCTCGTGCCTTCTTCAGAGTTAGCCTTTTTTTGTGGGCTCGAAGACAATTACTTGACACAAGAACATAAAAATGAAAGGAAGAGAACAGAGAGAGAGAGAGAGAGAGGGAGAGAGTGAATATTTTTCTCGTTATTGTTGTTTCTCTTTTTTAATTTCTTTTTTTCCCTCTAATTCATCCGTACGATACGAGGCTCCGATGGGGGATAAGGAGTTTGCCGGAGACGGAGAGCTCCTGGAGTCGGAACCCAAGTCCGGCCGTACGGAAGGGAAGGATGTAGGCTATGGTGGCTCCAGCCAAAATTGAAATTCGGATTTGCTTTGTAAAAGGAATAAAAGAAAGGATTCAAATCAAATCCAAATTTGTTGGGAAAGTGAAATGCTAATTATAATAATATTATCTCGAACCACTGACGTCGGAAATGAAAAAGAAGGGAAAAAAAACTGGCGTCGGAAATGAAGTTGGTCAAATTTGGACGTTAACTTTCTCCACAAATTATATTAATTTTTAAAGTTTGAAATTAATTGAATCAAGATTCCGTGTTAGGATCAATAAAATAATTCTTTTTGATCATATTTTGGAAAATTTAAGTTATTATTATTTAGAAATTAAAAAACTACATGTTATGTCAGGGTATTATATTATATAAATGATGTATATATTTATTTCTTAAATATTATAATAATTTAAATTAATATTTTTAAATAATTTAAAGTGATTATAATATATAATATATGTTCATAATTTTTTTAACTTATTATATAATGCGCATAGATCTTGCAGATGTAAATATTCAAATTTAAGTCCTCTAAAAATAACAATATTTCTTTTAATAACTGAAATCACTCAATTAGTTTAACTTAATAATGTATTTGACATGTTTATTAAATTAAGTTAAAATTTAATATTTATATATATTTGATCACATAAATATTAACGTAAAAAATAGTTTATCGTAACATAAACAATTATAATGTCCTCAAACTATTATTTTTTTTCGTCATCAAACTATTTTTAAGTAAAAGTGTCATCATTCTTATTTTTTTTTTGTATTTTTGTCACCAATCACGTTATATATTAAATGGATATAGTAACAAATTTTATAATATCATCTAATAATAATTATAGTTTCAAAACTTGTATAATTTATCAATTTAATCTTAATTTAAAACAAATTAAGGACTAAAATAAGAAAATGATAATAATTTTGTCTTAACGGTGTAGTTTACCCTTGAAAATATAAAATTACGTGTGTGATGTAATTGGAATGACGTTTTCCATCTTTTTAACATTGTGTTGTTTTCGGTTGTGATTTTCAAGGATTTCTTTGATTATTTAAATTTTTGAGTATTTAATTGTTGTACGATGATACAAGATATCTAATTAACAAAATACGATTGTTGTACAATGATAAATTATCTGTAGATTCAGAAATAAATAAAGATTTAAATATTTTATATAAATATGTTACTTAAAATTTTAAATTGGGTAAACTATACATCTAGTATCTAAACTATTAATTTTATTTCGTTTTAGTAGCTATACTTCCATTTGTTTCAAAATCATACACAACATTTATTTTTTCGTTTTAGTATATCGCCGTTAAAAACTTAGCGGAACTGTTACAACATGACACTTTTTTATAGGTAAAATATATCATTCATCACTCAATTATATTCTCACTCATATTTTGATCATTGAAGTTTATTTTTTTTAATGTAATTACTTAACTTTCAAATTACTCCTAATTTAATCACTCTAACTTTAAAAAAATATTTTAATTTTATATTTATAAAATAAAAAATGTCGTGCCACAAAAATTATTAATAAAATAAATTAGAGTGATCAAAACACGAAAGTTTGGTAGTTTAAGTGATACTTTTTAAACTTTAGTTAGTAAAATAGGAGTGAAAATATAATTAAGTGATGAATAATATAATTTACCCATAAAAAATGTCAAGTGCAGTAGTTCTGTTAAGCTTTTAACAGCAGATGCTAAAAATATATATAAACATTAGTTATGATTTTAGAAAAATAAAAGTTTAGATATTAAAACGAAACAGAACTGATAACTTAAGTAAAAAATGTAATTTATGTGGAATTTTGGTGGTAGGACGGCAATGTTGTAAAATAAGATGAAAGGTCGAACCAATTAAAATTTTAGTTCTCAATTTAATTGGTTGAGTGAATCATGGTAGGTTTAATATTAAAGTAATGTAAAAACATAAATTGTATCAATGATTTTTTAAATTTGATAATTAGTATGTTTATTAAGGTTTGAATTTGAATATCGATTGAAAATTTATTATTTCTTCGTTCTATAATAAATTTTAATAAATTAAATATTTTATATAAATTATTTTCTATCATTCAAATTATAAATATAATGAAATTTATTCCTTGACCATTTTAAAAATAATAAATTTTTAAATCAATATAATAATAAAAAATGAGTTTTGATCTCTCAAAAAGTTATAATTTTGTATCTTTGGAGACATCTTTGAAAACTATTGATTCCCTCCGTCTTAAGTATGGTTGTAAATGAGATAAGATATATTGCTAGCTACTTGAGATTAATTCGGTCAAAACTGAATCAACACTCAAATTGAGTAGATTTGACTTGAGCTCGAACCCAATTCGAATTCTTAACGAATCTAAGTGAATTACTTAATACTTGACTCGAAAAACTCGCAAGCAAATTTTAAAAAATAATATATTAAAATTTTAATTTTTAAAATTAAATTATTAATAATAACATGTATATGTTATTTTTAAATACGATATAAGACTTTGATGTACTTAAAGTTCATGTTCGAGTTTGAGCTTCAATCGAGCTAAGTCTAAGAATGTCTTGAGTTCAAGTTTTTTCAAGCTCGAGACGAGCTTCAATATTTTATTTCGAGTCGAGCTTGAAAATTTTAAGTTTGTGAGCTTTCAAGTCAAGTCGAATTTCAATTTTTTATTTCAAGTTCAAGTCGAGCTTGACAATTTTAAACTCACGAGATTTTGATACGAGTCGAGCTCATTTTTAAAATTTTGGAATCGAGTTGAGCTTGACTAGACTCTTTTACAACCATAATCACAATACCTCCACCTATATATCTCATTTCATTAGAGTCTTCATAACCTTTCAAATTAGTCATAATATGCAAACAAGACAGCTAACAAACCCAAACAACTTATTAGTATAAAATTTTAAAACCTAACTGTTGAATCTGTTTAGTCTATCAACTTACAAATAATTATCATTATCCTACGAATGGCATAATCAACCAAGTCTTATAAATATCCCTTGGTCCTAACTGAGAGGAGGGTTTTTTTCTCCGTCTCCTCATAGATGGGAATCCATATTCATTATCTTTCTTCATCAAAATGAAACATCGGTCAATAATCATTTTTCATCAATTGTAATTCTTTACCTAAATTAAGAAAAAATAAATTATTAACCATCACTGAAATAAATTTATTCTCATTAATAAATTTAAAATTCAATCTGAAATATTTTTTTCTAGATTCGCCATATTGGTACTAAATCATTTATTGCTCACATGCCATGTGATAAGAGTCCATATGCCAATAACAAAATTACAATTTAGGAAATTTCTTTCACATGACTGAATGACACAAATATCCAACATTCATTCTTTCAAGAATCTATTCAATTGTTTGGTCCCTCCCAAAATTTGTCATTACCACATATCCCACATGATATTCTAATCCATAGATATCAAATTTGGTACTCATGTTTCTTTTATTATTTATTTCAAATATTTATGTTATATATATAAACATTGATATAAAAATATAATTTTGACAAAAATTCAATAATTCAAGTATATCTTATGTCCAGTATATATCATATATTCAGTACGCGTAATTAAATTATAATCACAAAAATGCATTGGGATATTGGCTCATGAATTGAGTTGGGTATTTGAGTAAATGTGTAGGGGGTCATATTACTCAATTTTAAAGTATAGCTATAAAAATGTAATATGTAATATAATACTACTTTATACTTTATTTAATTTTAATTATAAAACATATTTTGTAATACAGTTATTTTTACTTAATTTTAATTGTAAAATACACCTTTTTTTGGATGGTTCATATTTAGTTATATTTTTTTATCAAGTTGGTAGTTTTAATTTTGTTATAAAAATTGAACATAATATTAAAGCAAAATATGTTATAAAAGTTATGTCTAACTATAGTTCGACTGATATTATAGCTGTATTATTCAAAAAGTGTCGGGGAGATCTTAAATTATAAATATTACGTGTGAGTTTTAACCTATGTTAGTATTGCAATCGATATATAATTAATTGTGATTAGTTTATATGATAAGAAAAATATTTATGTTTTGATAAGAAATTTGGCCATGATATCAATGATTAACCACTTTATCTTGTGTCAAAGATGGTGGGTGAATGTCAAGTCTCAATTATTATTTTAATTATTCATAGCAGAGGACATATAAAAAACACTCATTTCGTACATTTGGGAAGGTGACATGTAGCTTTTTCCTTAAGAAATATATTAAAAAACTATAAGAGTTTTTCATCTTGAATGAGATATTTTGGACCACTTCCAAATTCATATAGACTTTACACCATGGCCACGACATTTGGAAATTTCTTCGCGTTTACCTGTTGTACCACGTGATACAAAATAAATAGTTTAATATTTAACACATTTATTTTTCATATACAACTTTAATGTATCACTTTAATTATTTATTTAAATATTAATTAAAGATAACAAAATTTAAGAAATGTTCCCTCTAATAAATATGTTCGTTATTTTAAATTATTATTATTATTATTATCATTAGGATAAACAATATTTAACCAGTAAATTTATTAGGAAAATAATTTTTTTAAGGATCAGAGAAATATATTTCCTTATTGTTATCAATTCCCTAAATATTATTTTGTGTTCACCATGCAAAGATAAAATACTAGTAACATTAAAAAAAGATGTGAGAGAAATTAATAAAATTTCTTAACTTTTATAATTTATTATATAAATTTAAGGATTTATTTATTAATTTTTATCCATTTTAAAATTTATCTCTATTTATTAAAATAAATATTTCACAAACAAAATCTTTAGGAATGAAAACAATCTAAAGCGAGAGGGGTTGAATTTAGCCCATAGTCATAAGCTGGTCCTTGGTTAGACCATGTTGGGTGAATTAAGGCCCAAAAGAATCATTGGGAGTTGCCACAAAGATGTGTTGTCTTCCAACCATGCATGTTAATGGTAGTTTTATGGAACCCTCCATCAAGAAATATTATTGATATATAAAATTTTATGTCTGTTCTTAGATCAAGAAATACTCTTAACCTCGTTACTTAGTTAGATCAAGAAATACTCTTAACCTCGTTACTTAGTTTGACTATAATTAGTTTTCCGGAAAATGAATTACTGGAATTTGAATTCTGAAAAATGAATTACATTTCTGGAAAACATTTTCCGGAAAATGTTTTCCGTAAAATGAATTACATTTTTTTTTGAAAAACATCTGGAAAACGTTTTATGATGTTTGGAAGATGTTATTTAAATCCTTTTCCACTAGTTGAAGAGTTTTTTAAAAATTATTTATTACAAATATTAAATGTAATAAATAATATTATTTATCATAAAAATTAATATTATTATTTTAAAATATTAAAATAATTTTTTATTATTAAATATTATTTTTATAATTTTATCAATAAAAATAATATTTTTTGTATATTTTAGTGAAATAAAATATTATAAATTATATTAATTATTTATTAAAGTAATAGTGTTATATTATATTTTAAAAATATTAATTAGTATATTTTAAATATCTTTATTAAAATATTATTTAAATATATAAATAATATTATTCATTATTAAATATATAAAATTTTTATTATATATTATTAAAATAAAATATGATATCTTATATTATTATAATATAATTGATTATTTTATATAATATTAAAAATATTATTATATTATTATAAATATTAATAAATAAATAAATAATATTTTGATGAAAATGATATTAAAATATTTTATTAATATTAAATTCATAAAATAAAATTATTTTGAGTATTTATTCTTTGAAGTAAAAAGTTCGGAAAATGACTTACGGAAAATGAATCCGTAAGTCATTTTACAGAAAACACAAAGGAAATTCTGTTACTAGTAAAATGAATTACATTCCGGAAAACCAATTACGTTAAACAAACATGGGAAAACATTTTCCGGAAAACGAATTACGTGAAACAAACACGGGAAAACATTTTCCGAAAAACGAATTACGTGAAATAAACACGAGAATTCGGGAAAAACCAATTCCGTAATTCCAATTACGGCAAACAAACACACTCTGATAGTATTAACAAGATAAATAGAAGAATAAATTAAATAAAATAATAAATTACCGTATCATGTTGAATTACAATATAAAAACAAATTCATTATGATTAATGTAATTGTTCTATTAGACGATACTCTTTGAGATTAACACACTGTCTCTAAAAATCGTATACTCAAAGTTTAGATTTGACAATAGTGATATTGCTTTTCTCATACACAAAATTTGAAAGGAATAAAAAACTTCAAATTTACTGTGTTATATCATACACAACATAAACCACAAATTCAAACGGAAATATTGCATCAACAACTGATACAACATCTATTGTAATAGCTGTAATTAAATGTTGAAATAGTTCAAATAAATTTTAGACTGGTGACGTAATAATCCTAATTAAAAAATGATTTAAATGTAGTCAACAAACATTACAACTTAAAATTTACTTGAAACCATGTTGTAATTGTGATGTAATAAATGTTCAAATACGAGGAATATTGAAAATTTCTTTTCAAGTTTAAAATTCTAAAGAAAAAATTCTTGCAGATTTTCTCTAAAATGATAAAATGTGCGTAAATATGTACGAACATGAGCCGAAATGAGTAAAGCGGTGATGACGTACGTATGCATACAAGAACTTTGTCACTATATTTAACAAGGAAAATAAGAAAAGAATTCTTATAAATACATCTATAAAAACTTCTCTTCCCAATATATATATCAATATGACTATCGTCCAATCTAAACTCTATTGATTCGCTTGCTCTTGGTTGGTCAATTATTCAAAAACTTTACTAGGAACACCCCACAAGCAACTTTGAATTTGATTACCTTTTCGCACGAGAGACAAGCTTTATTAAACATGATATTACTTATATCTTTTTTTTAATAACTATTGGTATCGATCTATTGATCGACTAATTCAGATTAGGCACTGCAAAGAAAATAGCGATCCTCCCAACTCAATTTGCTATATTCGAAAACGTCAAGATTCAGATTGACTTTGCTTAAAAGATCTAGTACCTCATCTTGCTAGACCAACTGATTGTTGGTAAGTTACTACTTATCTTGTTCATAGTATTGAATGTGATATTTTGTTACCATTTTAAATGTATTTTTTAACGTTATAAGTACAATTATAAAATTATTTAGAATAAAATTTAAATTAAATACGTTCACATATTATAAAATTTAAATATAAAATCTATAAACTTTTAGTATCTCGACTTTAAAAGTTAACCAAGACCTCATTAGTATTGGCCTCCACAGCCGAAACTTGGCCTATATTTGATTGGGCTGTTTTGTTTTTTCCTTGTAAGAAGTCTCAACATTTTGGTATCTTAAGTTTTTAAAGATGCAATAAAGGACCACAAAGGCACCAATTCAAGCGGGTAAAATTATTCTTAAGGGACCATACAATTAAATCTAAATATATTATATTTAAATTTATGTAAAATTAAATATTTTAAAATATTCTTAAGGGACCATACACTTATGTTCCAATCTAATTCAAAACAATGTTCTTTTACATCATTGTGGGAACTTGAAAAATGAAAATTTAATATTTTTTAGTGAATATTTTTTATTTTATACTGTTAATTTCAATTGTCTATTTTTATTTATTCAACCGTCTTTAATTAATTTGTGAAAAACTAAAAAATTGTACCCTGTATAATTAGACCATATCTCTATCGATGTATATATGAGATAATATTTATTGATAAAATATAATAAAATTTTAAATTTTATATATATTTTTAAATGATTTAATGAGTGAAAATAAATCGACTGGGATTGATAATAATAGATGAACGTATGTTTTTTTTTTGTTAAAGTGAATAATCCCGAATTTAGAAAGTTTTAATCTCTCTATTTTCATTTCCTTTGTTCTATATATATCTTCAAAGGCTTCTTCTTCGTCCCTACTCACAGTAACTCAAACACCAAATTGTTTAAGTAGCCATGAACAAGTTGAAGAAATCTCAAACTCTGGTACTATCTGTTGTAGCAGCACTTTTATTCATCGCACCGCTTTTATCTTCATCCTCCAGGCCTACTTATCTTTACTTCGTCCTCAACCTTGTCATCCTATCGCTCGGAGCCGAAGCCAGTTTAGGATCGGTGTTCACTAGGCCTTCTGACGTTGCTGCAAAGGTGTCGACGACACAAGCAGCTAAGGGCACCGTCGAAAGCAAAGATGATCCAAAAAAGATTTCTCCTACAGCAGTTAGTGAAAACAAAGGAAAGAAAATCGTCGACAAATCCGTGGTGGAGAAGAAGATCGATTTCGGGTCGATCAAGGCGGAGAGAGTGAGCCTTTTCTTTATAGAAAATGGAGAAACCGACCCCGAAGCTGTTAACCGGCAAGACCTCGAGGAATAAAAAGAAGATGTTGGAGTGCTTAGTGGGCCTGAGTTGTTTGCCAAATCCGAAACTTTCATTGGAAACTTTTACCAGCAGTTGAATATGCAGAGGGAAGAGTCCTGGAAGAAGATTCATGGATCTTACCAAAGGCATTTTGAAGTGTATCTCTCTTCAAATCTTCATTATATCATAAATTAGGTTATTACGAATATCTTCCGTTTAGGATCGTTGGTTTGGGGAAACTATATTACATCATTCATGTTTTTTATCCCCTCTCATTTTCCTGCTTGCCAAGCAGGTTTGTTGTTAGTCATTTTCAGGCAGTTCCCACCACATTTTACCTTGAAGTGTCATGAAACAAACAAAACAGATAGTAGGCATAATTCATAGATTTGAAGAAGATTCATGGATTTACGATTAATGTATAATCTATTAATCGACTATTATTGTTCGAGTAGGGTAAGTATGAGACAATCCTTTTAACCTAATTTTTTTCATTCACAACATCATGATTCAAACTCTTAACTTTACTTGAGAAATCCTATTATATGAACGGATTGTTGGTTCAACCAGCTATCAAATAGTGTATAATTTTTTGGTTTCCAAATTTTGTTTGTTAAAAATGTTGGAATCCCCTTTGTTTATGTGGTGGGAATAAGGACATATCAGTGTTGGAAAAGCTCCAGTTTTGAAGTAGGGCATGTAGGAGGTCCTAGCCATGGCTGCTAATGTGGATTCTCATCTTTTCTTTCTTTTTAGGTCCCCTTTGATATTCTTGCGGCATTTCCAGATGCAGACAGCCACTCTCTTTATTACTACCAATCGGTCACTTTTAGTGATGAATCTAAAAATACTTTTTAGGGTGGATATATATAAGATTTTAGGGTGGACACAACCACTAAAATAAGTAATTATTCAAAGAAAATTTAAATTTCAAGGTGGGGGTGCTTAATGGATCCTCCACTGGTCATTTCCAGATTCATAGTTTTGCTTTAAAATTAAATATCCGATTTTTCCTATCGAATCAGCGAATTAACAAGTTAAGTGTCACAAATAGAATATTTTCAAATACCACCACAAAAACAAAGAAGGTAAAGAGTAGACTATTCAATTTTTTAAAAATAAATTTTGAGTATGTCCTTGATTGATATAAGAAACATTAAATTTATTCAAAATTTTATGAAACTAAATTATTAAAAAATTAATTATATACAAGAGAATAAAAATGTATATAATTTATATGATTTTACATTAATGTAAATAAACTTCTTTCTCTTCGATAAGCATCAATTTTCCTCGTAAGCTCCCAATGTGCTAAGATAATCTTGGTTTGACCTTAGCCTTAATTCTTGCCATGTACTTGTCCTGAAAAAGGCCATATTAGAGTCCTATTCATCTGCTTCATGTTCTTTTGGAGTCAAGGCCCATCAATTATTTTAGTTCTTTTTCTATATAAAATTATATATATCTAATTGTAAAAAGTTGAATTTGGGATTTATTTGGTGTTTTCTATATAAAATTATATATATCTAATTGTAAAAAGTTGAATTTGGGATTTATTTGGTGTAAAACTAAATTTGTTGATTGATTAATTTCAATCATATTGTAAAAAATTATTGTGAGAATGATGTTTCGTTTTAATTTGTTTCATATTCTACATTACTATTTAGACTTTAAATGTTCTTTAAAGAGTAATTTTTTTAATAATTCGGGATAAAAATGTAATTTATGTTCATAATATATGTCAAAGAATAATGTTTTATCTCACTATACTAATATTATTTTATTCTTAAAAAACAGTAAGTTTGGGATTCTCTTGTTAGGAAAATAAACCGAGTACAAGTAATTTCCTTATAACCAGATTAGTGAGAATGCGAAATAAAAGCGGAAAAATAATACCCGAAAATTGATAACGGAGTTCAGCCAATTGTGCTTACGTCTCCGGGCTGCTGCAGATCTTTTACTAAGAGAGAAAATTTACAGGTGTTTACAAAACACTCACTACTCACAAGAAAGCTCTCTAGTATAGGAAGAAAGAAATGTTTTGGGATGATTTTGAAGCTAAATGGGTAAGGGTATTTATAGTAGAAACTTAGGGACTAATCTTTGAAAATACCCTAAAGTGCAATGACTAAAGTGAATTTACCCATTCCTATTTTCAACAAACATCTACCAAAATTTTACCAAACTTTGAAAAACATTTTTCAAAGAAACATTTACCAAACTTTGAAAAAACATTTTCCAAAGTTGGTTGCCAAACTTTGAAACTTTTAATAATCTCCCACTTGAAGACTGATTTTAATATGTCTTCACACCTCGATCAATGCAGCAGCATGTCTGGTCTTGTTATTCTAGCATGCCAACTGAAGCTGAACACAACTTCAGTTTGTCCGTAGTCACCGTCTTTGTCAACATGTCTGCCGGATTTTGAGCTCCACTAATCTTTTCAAGTTTCAAAATTCCATCTTCCAGAAGAGACCGGATAAAATGATATCTCAATTGTATGTGCTTTGTCCTGGAATGAAAAGACGGATTCTTTGCTAGATGGATAGCACTTTGACTGTCACAATACAAGATATTGTTTTCTTGTTTCTTGCCTAACTCTTCCAAGAAACTTTGGAGCCAAACCATCTCCTTGCTGGCTTCCGTAACAGCGACATATTCTGCTTCAGTTGTAGAGAGAGCAACTATCTTCTATAGTTGAGAAACCCAACTCACTGCAGTTCCTCCTAGAGTATAGACATACCCTGTAGTGCTCCTTCTGATGTCGACATTTCCGGCTAAGTCAGCATCTACATAGCCTGTCAGTATCATATCTCCACCTTTGAAACAAAGTGCTTTGTTTGTGGTACCCCGAAGATATCTGAGGATCCATTTGACTGCTTCCCAGTGTACCTTGCCCGGATTATTCATGTACCTGCTAACAGCTCCCACTGCATGAGCAATATCTGGTCTGGTACAAACCATGGCATACATCAGACTTCCAATTGCTGAGGCATACGGCACCTTCACCATGTGTGCACGTTCTTCCTCCGTCTTTGGTGATTGGTCTTTGGAGAGTCTGAAATGAACACCTAAAGGTGTACTTACTGGTTTAGCATCTTGCATGTTGAACCTGGAGAGTACTTTGTTGATGTACTCAGCCTGCGATAACATCAAAGTCCCCGATTTTGGTTTCTCTTGATCCTCATCCCAAGAATCTGCTTTGCAGCGCCCAGATCCTTCATAGCAAACTGCTTCGACAATTTTTGCTTCAAGTTTATGATCTCTTGCATGTTTGAGCCTGCAACGAGCATGTCATCAACGTACAACAATAAAATAATGAAACTATTGTCGAACCTCTTGATGTAGCAACAATGATCTGCTTGGCATCTGGTAAAACCACTGCTACTCATGAAACTATCGAACTTCTTGTACCACTGTCTAGGAGCTTGTTTTAAACCATACAAGCTCTTCTTCAACCTGCATACCAGGTTTTTCTTGCCTGCCTCTATGAAGCCTTCTGGCTGCCTCATATAGATCTCTTCCTCCAAATCACCATGAAGGAAAACTGTCTTTACATCTAACTGCTCGAGATGTAAATTCTCCGCAGCTACAATTTTCAACACCAGTCTGATTGTAGAAAGTTTTATAACTGGAGAGAAAATTTCATTGTAGTCAATACCTTCTTTTTGCTGAAAACCTTTGACAACCAATCTTGCTTTGTAGCGTTTTCTCCCATCATGTTCTTCTTTGATCCTGTAAATCCACTTGTTATGGAGCGCTTTCTTGCCTGGTGGTAATTCAGTTAATTCCCACGTCTGATTTGACATAAGCGAGTCCATCTCATCTTTCATGGAAGACTCCCACTTGACTGAATCCTCCACCTGCATTGCTTCATCATAGCACTCTGGTTCACCATTGTCAGTCAGCAACAAATAGTGCAAAGAAGGCGAATACCGTTGGGTTGGTTTAAGAATTCTGGAGGAGCGTCTCAGTTCTGGTGTGTGTGGTTCTTCTTGAACTGCTTCAGGATTGATCTGAACATCATTTCCAGAAATATCCTCGAACTCAGAAAATTCCTTTGTTTCAGCTTCGGTATTACTTGATTCTACGGTTGACATATCTTTGTACATCACATTTTCATTGAAAATGACGTCTCTGCTTCTGATGATCTTTCGATTTTCGTAGTCCCAAAACCGGTAACCGAACTCATCACCACCGTAACCAACAAAGACGCATTCGTTGGACTTGGCATCAAGTTTACTTCTTTCAGCAGAGTTTATGTGTACATAAGAAATACAACCAAACACTCTTAAGTGTGAAAGGTTTATTTCTTTCTTGCTCCAAGCTTCCTCTGGTATTCTGCCATCCAAAGGAACTGAGGGCCCACGGTTGATCAGGTAAGCTGCAGTGTTGATAGCTTCAGCCCATAGAAATTTGGGCAATCCGACATGTATCCTCATGCTTCTGGCACGTTCATTCAGAGTTCTGTTCATGCGCTCTGCTACGCCATTCTGCTGCGGTGTTATGGGAACTGTTGTCTCCATCTTGATCCCATTGTTTGCGCAGAAATCTCTGAAACTACTGTCTCTGTACTCTCCTCCATTGTCAGACCTCAATCGCTTGACTTTCAAACCAGTCTCATTTTCCACCATGGCCTTCCATTTTCTGAAGGTATCAAAGACTTCTGATTTTTTCTTCAGAAAATAAACCCACACCTTCCTTGTTGAATCATCGATGAAGGTGACATAATATAGTGAGCCTGCAAGAGATGGAACAGGGGATGGTCCCCATACATCAGTATGAACCAATTCTAACCTTTCTTCCTTGGGAGTCTTGCCAATCTTTGTAAAACTGACTTTCTTTTGTTTTCCAAAGATGCAATCCTCGCATAGTCCGACATCTACATTCTTTAGATCCAGCAGCTTCCCTTTTGACAGAAGTATCTTCATTCCTTTCTCGCTCATATGGCCGAGCCTTTGGTGCCATAGGTTTGATTTTCCATCAGCATCTGCTACTGCAATGATATTCTCTAAATTTGAGGTTACATAGAGAGTACCGGTCTTCTTACCACGAGCAATGACGAGTGCTCCTTTGGTAATCTTCCATTCACAGCCTGAAAAAGTTGTACTATATCCTTCTCCATCAAGCTGCCCAACAGAAATCAGATTTCTGTTGAGGCCAGGAATATGTCTCACTCCTGTCAGCTTCCAGGTGGTCTGGTTTGGCAGCTTTAGTCGGATGTCTCCTTTTCCGACGATCTTCAAGGTTTCATCATCAGCTAGATGAACCTTCCCAAAATCACCACTGACATAGTTCTCCATGATTTCTCGGCATGAGGTGGAGTGGAAAGATGCCCCTGAATCCAAGATCCATGATTCAATCGGACTGTTGACGCTTAAAATCATGGCATCACCTGTCTCCTCCGTCATGTTGGCAGATTCCTGTGCGCCGGTATTTTTCTTCGGTGCTCGGCAATCTCTTTTGAAGTGACCATTTTTGCCGCAATTATAACAGGTAAAATCTTTATTTCCTGTTCTTGATTTGCCCCTTCTAGATTTTGATCTGCCACGATTTGAATTTCTTTCTGAAGTTCTCCCTCTAGACTCCGTGTGTAAGGTTGAGGAGGTTGATGCTTCACCCGATTCTCTTCATCGAATTTCTTCACTCAATACCAGATCCCGAACATCGTCGAATTTTAATTTGCTGTTTCCCGACGAACTGCTGACTGCTGTAACAGTAGCATTCCAACTGTCTGGTAGAGATGATAAGAGAATTAAAGCTCGAACTTCATCATCGAACTCAATTTCCACTGAACTCAACTGGGTTGTGATTGTGTTGAGTTCATTTAGGTGTTGTGCCACCGATGCCCCTTCCGCCATCCGCAAATTGAATAATCGCCTCATCAAATGAACTTTGTTTGAGGCCGATGGCTTCTCGTACATACTGGAGAGAGCCGCCATAAGACCCGCCGTGGTCTTTTCCTTTGCTATGTTAAAAGCAACATTGCGGGATAACGTCAGTCGGATAACTCCGAGGGCTTGTCTGTCGAGAAGAGCCCAATCTTCATCCTTCATGCCCTCTGGTTGCTTTCCTGAGAGAGGTTGATATAGATTTTTCTGGTACAAAAAATCTTCAATCTGCATCTTCCAAAAGCCAAAGTCCGCACCATCGAACTTTTCAATTTTCACCTTCCCTTCGTCTGCAGCCATCGCTCCCACTCGAATCTGGCTTCGTTTGGATCGTTTCTGACAATTCTTGCGAATCACCGTGTATTAGAACACCACCGTCGACAAACTCGTATCGCCGACCGAATTTCACTATTCACAAAATTTACTATTCACGTAAATAGTAATGAATAGTAACCTCGCAGAAAATTTGACAAAATTCATAACCAAAAGCTCTGATACCAGTTGTTAGGAAAATAAACCGAGTACAAGTAATTTCCCTATAACCAGATTAGTGAGAATGCGAAATAAAAGCGGAAAAATAATACCCGAAAATTGATAACGGAGTTCAGCCAATTGTGCTTACGTCTCCGGGCTGCTGCAGATCTTTTACTAAGAGAGAAAATTTACAGGTGTTTACAAAACACTCACTACTCACAAGAAAGCTCTCTAGTATAGGAAGAAAGAAATGTTTTGGGATGATTTTGAAGCTAAATGGGTAAGGGTATTTATAGTAGAAACTTAGGGACTAATCTTTGAAAATACCCTAAAGTGCAATGACTAAAGTGAATTTACCCATTCCTATTTTCAACAAACATCTACCAAAATTTTACCAAACTTTGAAAAATATTTTTCAAAGAAACATTTACCAAACTTTGAAAAAACATTTTCCAAAGTTGGTTGCCAAACTTTGAAACTTTTAACATCTCTTAACAACCAAATAAGAATAAGTGATTTTTCTTAATGATGTTTCTAAAATAAACATCATACTATACGCTACGATTTATAACGTGCATATTATTTCTCTTTCAATGTTATATGATAAATATTTGTTCTAAAGAGTGGAATCCACGAAATGAAAGCTAGTAAGAGGGGGGGAAATCATAGTCAAATCATTTAAAAAAGTGTATAAAAATGAAGCACCAACCACCATACAATAAAAATATAAAAATTGTTATATAACAAACCGCTCTAGAAGAACGCAGTTCAAGTTTCGCTGTCAATGGCTAAAGCATGCCTCGGAAAAATCCAAATGCAGAATATTATTATATGATGATTAGAGCTTAACAGTATGAAAAACTAGTCATTTCTTAGTTTTGGTTTTTCAAAGACATTGTTTTTTGCAAGTTGAAAGAAGATGGAGAAGGAACCAAGAAGGCTGGTGAATTATGCAACTTTACCTATCTGTTTAGTGTTAACTGTTCTGGTTTATGCTACGTTTTTTCAATCTAATGACACCTTAATTGATTCATGTAATCATCTTTCTTAGCAATTCAAACATTTTTTTTATAGTTTTGTTTATATAAAAAAACTTGGTTGACTTGAAACTCTCTGGAAAATGAAGGGGGATACAGGTTATCAAATTCAAGCAGTGAAAGGATCAATATTGATGCGGTTGATCCTCAAGAATTTCTGCTAAGAAGGCTTGTTCGAGGTTCATCTCTTTATCTATTCCATTTTTTATTAGAATTTAGTGCATGTTGATTCTTATATATTGCGTTGAATGGAACAGGAGATGATCGAGTTCAGTTCGATTTCAATGGATTTTCATGTCACACTGATGTTCATTCAGATTTATGCGTTGCAAATAAGCCTGTAAGGATCTACAACAAAGGGTTGACTGTTTATGTGCCGTATGATCATCATCATCAACCTCAAGTCAAGAGAATTGTTAAGCCATACGCAAGGCAGGAAGACGAAACCGCCATGAAACTCGTCTCACCGGTGCAGATTCTTCATGTGAACAGCACCATTAAACCACCTCCAGCCTGCAATTTCACCCACAATGTCACTGCTGTTGTCTTCTCTTCAAAAGGGTTCACAGGCAATGTTTTCCATGAGTTCAATGAGATTATCATCCCTTTGTTCATCACTGCCCGCCATTTTAGATCGAGACTCAAGTTTGTAATCACAGATTTCGAGCTTTGGTGGGTTCAAAAGTACAACAGGGTACTGTCTCACTTGTCTGGTTATGATGTTATAAATCCTGGTGATGGGAGTGTTCATTGTTTTCCAGGGGCTGTTATAGGGCTTAAATACCATAACAATCTAGCCCTCAACAGCTCTGATATTCCAGGAGGTTATTCCATGCTTGATTTCAAGCAGTTCTTGAAAGAATCATATAACCTGAAAACAAACCATGTGTCCGAGATTCGTAAGCCAGTGTTGATGCTTATATCGCGACATAATTCAAGACGGTTTTTGAATGAAGATGAAATGGTGGAGATGATGGAGGGATTAGGCTTTCAAGTCACGAAGGCGGAACCCGAGAGAGTGTCGAACTTGGACGAGTTCGCCGAGGTGGTGAACTCATGTAGTGTCATGGTTGGAGCCCATGGTGCCGGGCTAACAAATGAGATATTCTTGCCCACTGGTGCAGTGACGGTTCAAGTGGTGCCATTGGCACATGAATGGGTGTCAACCAACTACTTTGGTGAACCGGCGAAGGCGATGGGGGTTCGGTACTTGGAGTACAAGATTGAACCGGAGGAAAGTTCTTTGTTCGACACTTACGGAAAAGATCATTCTGTGATTACTGATCCGGAATCTGTGATCTCTAAGGGATATTATGCATACAGGTCTGTGTATGTTGATGGCCAAGATCTAAAGATCAATTTAGAGAGATTTAAGAAAACCATTATTGAAGCTAAGCAAATTCTTGAAACCTCAACTCCCTTTTGATAGATGAATGAAAATTGATCTTCTTCAAGATACTGCAAGAGATTCAGCTTATACAATTCATTTCATTTTCACACGGCTGCAAAGAAAAGCTAGGGAACTTGGTTTAAATATTGCAACATTCTTTGTCATTGTAAAAGCATTTCAACTACATATCCTATATTCTTTGAAAGCCGATATATCAAACATGAGCTATCATGTTCTAAATCATAGAAATTGTATTAATTTTCATCGCATTGAATCGTCGTGGCCGTGGATGACCAGTTCTGTTGTAGTGAACTCATGCCTGTAATCTCAAAAGACCCATAATCTGTCGAAAGACAGGAAAAGAGGAAATATCCACCTTGTTCACTAGGAGAGATATTGTTGGTTTCGACCAGACATTAAATGTCAAGCTTGCAAGCAAATGGAACATATGGAGAGAATTTGCAAGAATAAAGGACAACAACAAAACACATTGGCTTAAGTTGCTAACGTGTATTGAAAAATCTGAAATTGCATTTTCCATTAAATAAGACTTGAAGAGCATCAAACTAGCTGCAACAAATGTGTATTGGAAAATGAAATTGCACCAATGTTTGAGAAATTCAAGATTTATGTTGAAAATCAATCTAGAAATTGTCAAAAATATATGTTGTTCTTTTCTATCCTTGACTTTTAAATAACATAGTAAGAAGCCTAAGAACATTTGCATGATGTTTATTCTCAGACTGCACCTAGTTTTACTTTTGGGGGGAAAAATGACCTTTTCAGTTCAGAAATATCTTTGGTTTCCATTGATTCAGCTAGCGACATTCCACGGTTGTCAAAATCCAACAAACAAAATGAATGAAAAGCACCTTGAATCTGCTACTTTATTGATGCATACCAGCCTTTCCTACGCGTCTCTGATGTCACATTTGATTTGTATTTGAATGTGAGGAATGTGGTACCTTGTCCAAATTTGTTCTTTGCTTTTCTTCAACCGAGTTTAATTTGGGTTTTTCAAAAACATTCATTACAATCAAATAGGGTCTTCTTTTTTTTTCCTTTGCAGGTTGAAAGGAGATGGAGAAGGAAACAAATAGGATGGTGAATTGTGCAAATTTAGCTACCTGTTTGGTGTTAATTGTTCTGGTTTATGCTACACTTTTTCAATCTAATGACACCATAAACTTGGCTGACTTGAAACTCCATGGAAATGAAGGGGGCTACAGGTTTTCATATTCAAGGATCAATGTTGATGCAGTTGATCCTCAAGAATTTCAATTAAGAAGGCTTGTTAGAGGTTCATCTCTTTCACCGATGTTGATTCAGAGGTATTCATAGCAAATAAACCAGTAAGGATCTTCAACAAAGGGTTGACAGTTTATGTGCCATATGATTATCAACCACAAGTCACGAGAATTGTAAAGCCATATGCAAGGAAAGAAGACGAAACCACAATGAAACTCGTCTCACCGGTTCAGATTCTTCATGGGAACAGCACCATTAATCCGCCACCAGCCTACAATTCCACCCACAATGTCGCGGCTGTTGTCTTCTCTTCAAAAAGCTTCACAGGCAATGTTTTTCATGAGTTCAATGAGATTATCATCTCTTTGTTCATCACAACTCGCCATTTTCGGTCCCGATTGAAGTTTGTAATCACAGATTACCAGCTTCGGTGGACACAAAAGTAAAACAGGGTTCTGTCTCACTTGTCTGGTTATGATGTTATAAATCCTGATGATGGGAGTGTTCATTGTTTCCCAGGGGCCGTTATAGGGCTTAAATACCGTAACAATCTAGCCCTCAACATTGCTGATATTCCAGGAGGTTATTCCATGCTTGATTTCAAGCACTTCTTGAAAGTATCATACAATCTGAAAATAAACAACGTGTCCGAGATTAAAAAACCTATGAGCCCTGGAATAACCTCGTACAATCATATATTGATACATATCAGTATTCAAAATAACATATTCTAATCTTTCATTTCTTAACTAAAGGAAAGGAAAAACTTCATTTTCTAATTAAACTGGTATTTATACCCTTATAGGGTATCAATACATCCCTTAACTGAGGTATCGATACCATACCCAGGTATCGATACCCCTATTGCATTCTGTAATTTTTCGTTCAAGATGACATTGATACCTTCTTTAAGGTATCGGTACCCCTTGAATTCCTTCAATAATTTTACTCTTGAATTATCGGTACCTGTTGAATGGATACCGATACCCATTGCCCAGAAATCATATTTTAATCCTTTTAAATTATCACTCAAGTTTTCTTAAACCTTTTACTCATCAGACGTAACATATATTTTATAAGTACTTCATTATGTGGTGCATTAATTCAAGAAATGCATAATGTACAACAATAACTCAAAAAGAATTTTAATTACGACTTAATAATAGCTAAAAAAATAAAATGCAAATCTTGCCATAACTTTAAAAGAAATTTAGTGATTAGATCACATTAAACTTAAAAATTTTAATCCAAATTTGCTAAATACAAATAGCTGAACGGGAATTGCTAAAGTTTGTTAAATCTTTGATCATTGTCTTCATCATTGCATAATTTAGTAAAAAGTTTTATGTAACAGGGATTGCTACTTCGCTAACAAGCTTGAAAAAAAAAGTTCATAGTCAGTCCTTAAATTAAACTACTTTTTAATGTAACTTAAAATATTAAAACTTTGTTAAATTCAAGTATACTAGCAGGAATAAAATTATGTCCAAAAGTAGGGAAGAGTCCTCGGAATAATTTCTCCAGACCTGCCACTTACATTTTTTTGGCCGATTCATCAACCTTCATCTTCTTCATTTATTCTACACTCAGTTGTAATTTTTTTTCTTCTTTTTCTAAAATCCTCTCCGAGTCTTAATCTAGTGAAAAAAAAAACATTTATAGGAGAAACCATTAAACGAAAACCATTTGATCTCATCACTTTGAGCATCCTTCAGATTAGAAAATTGGAGAAATCCGAGTCCCCTACCCTCTTCGCATCATCTTATAAACATAATTTTTAATTCGATGATTTATTTAAATCATCTTAGAAATCCAAAGAAATAACCATCCAGTTCAGTTGGTAGAGCACAAGGTTCTTAACCTTGAGGTCGTTGGATCGAGTCCCATGGAGGGCATTTCATAATTTGGAGGTCTCTTACGGAAGCTGCTCTCAATCTAGTGTTGGGGGAAGCCTACTATCTTACCTTCCCCTTACCCCATTACATATGGGAACAAGGGACAACCAACCATCTTAGAAATCCAAATATTGCACCATATTTGTTAAAAACAATGTTCAATTAGTAGTAGGAGTTAATTTTAATAATAAAGAAATATAATAAAATTATAATCTAAAAAAGTCTATAAAAATCGTATCCTGCTCTCAATCTAGTGTTGGAGGAAGCCTACTATCTTACCTTCCCCTTACCCCATTACATATGGATATGGGAACAAGGGACAACCAACCATCTTAGAAATCCAAATATTGCACCATATTTGTTAAAAACAGTGTTCAATTAGTAGTAGGAGTTAATTTTAATAATAAAGAAATATAATAAAATTATAATCTAAAAAAGTCTATAAAAATCGTATCAACTAGTTATTTTTCTTAAAACCATCAAGGATCATAAACTACCTCTTTTTATTATGAAAATATGATTATACAAGAAAAATGTTTTAAAAATTCATCAAAATAATGCAGAAAACATATAGAAACAAATAAATGTTACTATTACGATAAACACCATCAATACTAACATGGATATAATGATGATATCACTTTAACAAATTGACTTTATCACAACTCGAACACGATTTATTTGAAATGATTACGAATATATATCAATATGAGAAAGTCAATCTGATGATTAAAATGTATTGGTATATCAACAAGATAACCAAATAAACACTAATTAGAGATGAGACGTCAAATCAAATATAGTTATTATTGATATTTAGCATAATTATATATAAAAACATAATAATATGTTTTTATTGGCTTGTACAACAATAATGGAAGTATAGAATTAGGTATCCCCCTCTCCCCCTAACTCCAAAAATTTTATTAGGCTATAGCAACATGAAGTATTCATAGATATTTTTTCTTAATTTTTTTTGTATACCATTACGTTATAAGGTATCAAAAAAACATTACATTACAATTTTAATGATTATATAAATATATCCTTTACGAAACACTTCAAGTGTGCTTTTTTATTGTGTATATAAATAAATTCCATCCCTCAGAAGAGCTCTTTTAAAATTTACGCGTAGCTGCACATTCCATAAATGCAATATTCACCGGGTTTGCACCGGTGGTTGCAACCCCCGCAATGCCTTTTGTCGAAAGCAATCTCGACGCACTCTCCCCGGCAGCAAACCTGTGTGAACTTGCACTTCTTCTTGCATGCGCCGCAGTTGTGGTCGTCAGTCGCCAAATAGACGCATTTGTTGTTGCAGCAAGTGGAGGTGGCGCCGTCTTGAATGTAGCAAACCTCTTCGTCTTTGTGACAGTGGTCGGCGGCTCTAGGGTTCCGAACTCCTTGCTGGAGGAAACGACTTACCCTCTTGGAAACATTCGGCTTCGGCAACACGGGTGGTCCAGCCTCCGGGGATGTGGTTGATGAAATCAAAGTAGGGTTCGTTTCCACGCCGCCGCCGATGGTTTTCGTTACTAAAGTGATCATCATGGCTACAGTGAGGACAAGTTTGGCAAGTTCCATCTTGTTTCTTCGTTTGTTCTCAGTCTTGGATTCTTGAAGGTTGGTTTCCCCCCCTCCTGTTTATGAAGAAACTATAGAGAGAAGTTGGGAGACTTTTGGTGATGGAAATGGTGGGGATTTGGGTTTATAATGGAAATAAAGATAGGGGTTGACTTAACAAACGGGAAAAACAGCCAAGGTGCATGATGCATCTGGGAAACTAAAGCAAGGTTGAATTCTTAAGCTTAATTAATTTTTAAGAAATGAAATAAATTAGATTAAAAATGTAGATTTTATTAGTTCTTAAGCTAACCGATATTATTGTTGCATTCATCCCAAGTTTTCCTTACATTTAATTCACGTGTCATTGTGATCGTCTCTCTGTACAACCATTACCTCCTAATCTTGTTTTAGCAACATTTTAACTAAATCAATGAAAACATTATCAATTAACATTACTGGTTGTGATTATCTCTTTGTATAATATTATCTTTAAAATTCGATTCTTTATTTATTTATATTAGGAACACAATATATTTATGTTTTTACAGCACTAAGTATGAACATTTCTTGGAATGGACTGAAATTTGTATGAATCTTATAAATTATCTAATTAATTGTTTTGATGTAACATTAAGCTTGAAGCATGTGCTAGTGCAACAATCACATGGAACCCTAGAAAGTCAAAGTGGGCGAGGCTGCCCTTTTTTGAACCATTAATGAACTAGCCATGGAAAGGGGCTCTTAATATGCACTGTCCTCAGCAAATTTAGCCATGCCGTTTGGCTAAGCAAAGTCAAGTTTATTGAAGAAACCAATACTTGAACACAAAGCTTATATAAAATATATGTTAGCAACCAATTCAAGATTTACTGTTAATTGTGTAAAAAGTAATTGAAATTTATATTATAAGAGATGTCGAACAGGAGAGTGCCAAATGGCATGAATCATTCAAAAGTATACTAATCAATTTTAGAATTTATATTATTAATATTTTTTATAATAATAATTATTATTTTAGAATTTCTATTATTAATATTTATAAACTTATATATAAAATTAAAATTCACGTGTAATTTTAAAATTTATACCTTGAGATGAGTGATGATCATTAATCAAATTCCATTGAATTAATGACTCAAAAAAGCTATCCATGTATTATAAATACCTTGGATTGAATTTGGATCATTTAGATGAAAATAAACAAACTGATTTTTGTACATTTTGAAATGGATAAATTGATTTCTTCCTTAAAATACTCATTTACTTAGTGTAATCATGATAAAAAAAAATATTGTTCTTTACATAAGACTCAAATTTGAGTAATTACGTTTATAAAATATGTACGATATCAATAAACTAAAAATATTTCTGAAAATATACTAACTTATAATCATTATATACTACTAAAAAAATAAATAATGGCATTTTCCATTATGTTTCCCATCATAAACTACACCTCATTTGTTGTACGTCAATATTAGTATGATAAACGTGAATCAATCTACGAACCAAAAAAAAAAAATCAATCATGATGTCAAAAACCCAAACATGCAAACTTACCCCAAACCTATAGCTAAAGACAACATACAAATATCGAGTAAAAAAATAGTTGGGAATGAGTAAGGAACATAATTTAAGGGAGATTTTAACTTAAGAAAACACAAGATGAGCACATACAAGTCTAATTCAGCCTAGAGGAACACAAGATGAACACATACAAACCTACTCTAGGTAAGATGAATGTTAAATGAATGCATGCAACCCCAACTACATACCATAAAAATGAGAGGAATAACATGCAACATTAGCTGCACATTAGTAAGTTCCCATAAAGAATTTCATAGATAGTATAATGGTAGTTACATTAGTACGAGTATACTGTAAATTTATGTAAATGAGATAATATAGTATGCATGTTTCATCAGAGATTGGATGGACTCCTTGGTCGTTGAACAAATATCCCCAATCATTTAAAATTAGTTAGGTAGGTTGCACATTTAAAATTAAATACCATCAAGTAATTTAACATTCAAATCAAAATAAAACACCTAAAATCCTTACCTACATAAACATAATAATTATAATCATATTAAATTTTAGATGATTACAGATGTACAAATCATATACTAATAGAAAGCCATTGCTGCAGAAATGAAATATTGAATCATTGCAAAAATATATAAAAGGTGATGCACGAACTATAAAAGGGGATCAAACTACTGAAAGAAAACATAAATCAGACTCGATGATGTGAAAAGCTATCCTCGAACGCATAATAGGAACCCAAATCCAATCTAAAGGTTCAAAACAAGGAAGATCAATAATATAACAAATAAATATCATTTTTATCAGTCGTGGTGATGTCAAATCAACCCTTAAAAATATAAGTGAAAACAACAATCAAACAACCGAAAAACGTACCAAAAGACAGAAGACAATGTGCCATAAAAGCAGATGAAGCATGCCATACAAGCAGATTGATTGAAAATAAAAAAATAAAAGAAAATAAAGATATAATATAAGAAAATAAAAAGACAATAAAAAATACCGACAATCGACAACCAACATTAAAATTGATGTCGTTGCTGATCAATAAGATAAAAAGAAAAAGAGATGAAAGGTTTGCCGATGAAAGAAAACTAGGAGAGAAATCTAGGAGGAAAATAGATTAGTATGTAAAATTTGTGGTTTTAAATGAGATGCTTTCGCTTGTACATCATGAAAAATTACCTGACTGGAATCTCTAACGTAAATAAATTAATGTTCTCTATAATAAGATGACGATACAAATCTATTAATATTTTCTTCAATAAAATAACATTAATGTGTCACTACTTTATTAGTAAATTAAAATTATATTAAATATTATGTTAAAAGATGTATGGACTCTATTAAAAAAATAATATTTAATTATTATACTACTCTTAATATTTATTATATATATTTAATAAAAATTAATATTTATGTTAAATTGTGATTAAAATAAATTATAATTATTTTATAAAATATATTAATTATAATTATTTTATAAAATATATTAATTATAATTATTTTATTTAATAATGTTTAAATATTACATTATTTTGTGAACGAAAGGAATAATTTTTGGAGTATTATCCTCATAATGAGTCTCAGTAATATTTGATCCAAATTAATCGATTAATGAAACAATTATTAATAATTATATAAAAAAAATTACAATTAATTAATGTTATTACAAAAATAATCATACTTTTATTTTAGAAGTTTTAGAATTTTACACATTTTAAAGATTTTTCAGAATGGTTATAGTTTATATAATTATTTTAACTATTTAAAATTAAAAATATTTATGCAAACTTTTATTATTATTTTTTAAAAATTTTAATAATTAAAATAAATAAATTTTAACCACTTAAGTCCCTCTACATCAACATGTTCAACAACGAATAAAAACCTTCAAACTCGTGTATAAAATGAAGGGCTACAACGGGTCATGGGGTTGAATAGAAAGGCTAGAAGCCCAAACACATTCAAAAGTGGGCAAACAATTTTGGGAAAATATATATTTTGTATACTTAATTTGGGTTCATAATAAATTTTGACATTTACATTATTTTTTTCATCTAAAGTTTAATTTGATATTTAAAAATATTTTTCGTCTAATTAAGTACTTAAATTTGACTTGTTGGTTTAAATTGGTACCTGAATTTTACTTTTTGGTTCGTATTTATACTATGACAAATGATTTATTTAAACCAATTTTAATTACGAAGTTAAGTTTAAGTATCAATTTGAAAATAAAATCCAATTTGAAATATTTAATTGGAAAAAAATATTTAGACACTAAATTGAAACTTAAAAATAAATTTAGGTACTTAATTGAACAAAAAAAAGTTAAGATACCAAATTGCACTTTGAAATTAAGCCCAGGTACCAAAATATATATTTACCGAAATATTTTCAACAATTAGGACATTACACGGTGCCTTTCTAATAGATCGGAAGTAGAAAAAGTGAAAGCCAAAATTGATATCCCTAAGCTTAGCTTAACTCTGGTGAGAGAGGGCAAGCTTTTCAAATGGAGTTCAGAGCTCGAAACTACGTCGCAAAAGAACAGTCCCACGCGCTTCCTCGTTCACGCGCCGATATCCACCCTCTCTCTTCTCCTTCTCCTCAGTCTATCCGTCGCCAGGTTCGAATTCTCTCCTTTTTTTCTCGTTTTCGGTTTTTCTCTTTTGTATTTCGCTTTTTATTATACTCTCCCCCCTTTCTTGTTTAATTATTTGATAATATTTTATGAATTTATGACTGTAGGTTGATGACAACGCGGGAAATAGAACCACCGAGGAGTTCTTTGATCCGCTAAGAGCACCTGAATCTAATGCATCGGTAGAAATCGTCGATGAAAACGATTTTGAGAGCAGTTCTAATGGAATCGAAGATTCTGTCCAAGTTCAAATGAAGGAGTGGACCTCGTTTAAGAGACTCTTAATGCAGAGATTTCCCGTTTCCAAAATGATTTCAGTTTCTTCCGTAAGTCACCGATTTTGTGTACGAATTTATATTTTTAAATCGATGCTAAAAAATTTAGGTTTAGATATGGATGCATTATGTTAAATTTTGAAATTTTTATGCTTGCTACGTGTAAATTTATTATTAACTATGTCAACTTGAAGATTTGATGAATTGTTATGCTATGATGGAATTTAGAATCAGCAGAAGTGAGTTTATAACTTTATATGCTTGTCACTTGTCTGTTTAAGCTGTTATATAGTATCAAGCATATAGTCTCTTGTGGAATTTTAAAATTCCATATCTAGTATATAAGATCAAAATAGTCTAATTCAGTATTGCAATTCTTGTTTATAGTTAAATTGAAATGTGCTAAGAATATGATCGCAGTTGTGGAGCTTTTAAACTCCAATGCCAGTGAGTGGAATATCTGTTGGATAGGGTATGAGATTTGTATAGAATATTTGGTGTTTTGGATAGGTTTCTCTTTCATGTGTGCCTCGTAATTAGATTTTTGAAACTTGCAACTCTTTTTTATATATTTGTTGGGGAGGACATTGAGAGTTTATTCTTCTTACAGATGTCAAATACGATATTGAGAAGTGGAAAAGGTATAAAAGTTTCTGTTCCTTTCAATTTGTTTTTGTCATTAGCTCAGTTATGGCCCTTTAGGCTTTAGTAGTCAGCTTGGTGCTGTAAGTTTTTATTTTCCATTTACTTGAAAGATGTTCTGATTGTAGCTATTTTATGAGACTTATTTGTAGCACATGAGAAATCTTCAAGTAGCACACATCCGGAAGAACTGGATGATCCACAAAAATCTTCAGAAGAGAGTACAAAGGTTATCACACGGCAGGAATTTGTGTCACGATTACATGAATTGAAAGATGAAATAAATCGTGCTTGGCACAGTGAAGATCGTGTAAAATCTTTGAAGTTATCTATAAAGGTGAATTTCTTTCTAATAACATTTTAGCTTCATCTAATAGCTAATAAAACGAAGGTGTAGAAGGACCGGATATCTGCATGGTCGGCTAAGTTTTTATCTGTAGCCTCTAGCTCATACAGTTAGTTATATTGAGGTTCCATCATATGAGAATCTTAAATTCTGAATATAATTAGATTATTGAAATCGAGCTTGAATACTACATGTAGGTTGTGAGGGGTTTCAATTACTCTTGAGCATGTATATGAAGTATTTAAACAATGTTATGTACTTTTTTTATTTTTATTTTTATGAGGTTAGATACTTGGCAACTAATATCAGTCTGATGTGAAAATTGAGGTCGGGTATATATTCTTTTATATTGCTTTTATATGGATTCATGGAATTATGGTTTTCAATTTTGCAGGTTGCAAGGCTTCTAATGGATACATCAGTCTTAAATTTTTATCCAACATTGTTTGTCCTTGTTTCTGATGTATTGGACATGCTTGGGGACATGGTATGGGAACGCATTAGGCAGAAAGCTGAATTTGCTGAAGATGGAGCCAAATTTTGCTCCTTAAGAGGTCTGTATACCATTAATCTGTTTGGACGTTCTTGTAATCTTTCTTAGTTGCTTTTCTATGTCCACTTCTCCGAGGACCTGTAAGGTGGTGTTTTTATTTCTTAATATAATTAAATTAGATAAAAAAAAGCACTATAGACATGCCTTTCGGTGCTTGCTGTCTTACTTTCATCTCATCTGTTTGGTTAACTTTTGGTTTTAAACCTAGATTATTGCGGCAGGTTTTTGGTGTTTTCTTAATGTAGCAACTGAATTGATTTTACTGAAACTTTTTTCTGGATTTATGGCAGAGAATTTTGGAGTAAGTGATGTTCCTACTGATGCAAAGGAAACTTGCTATAACTGGTTTTGCAAGGTTGGAACCATTCGAGAACTTCTTCCACGCATGTGAGGAGCGTTTCATATTTGGTTTCTCTTTTGGGTTTAATATTTCTAAGCGATGCTGTTGTTGCAATATCATGCTTTGCATATTTTCTTAGTGTTTTTTGCTTTCTGTTGATATTTTATATTTAATTTTATCTTTTTCCTTTTCTTTTGTACTGTAATTGCTATACAAAGTTATCTGTACTTGTTTATCTCTTTCTTGCTTGGAAACATGTTTTTTTACCACTTGTCTCCTTGTTATTGTATTTCAGTTATTTGGAGCTGGCTATCTTCCCTTGTTGGCGTTTTCTGATTGAACAACCATCAGAGTCTCTTCAGCGCTTGGTCATGATGACAAGAGGGTTAGCAGATCCGCTAGCATCTGCCTATTGTCGCCTGTATATTGCCCATCGTGCACAGAAGTTTCCTTCGCATGACACAGGTGGTTTTGTATATTTATTTGCACAACCATATGCCAATGTTGATAAATCATCCCTTCATGCATGCTTATTTGATGTATTGATTATAAAGTCAGCAGCTTCAGCCAATCAGACCGAGGAAATAATGTGGACATGCTTTGGCTCAGTCTGATTTTGCTTCACATATTATAGTTTCTGTTGATTTGTTGGCATGACTTGTTTGATACTGTTGTTGCAGGATATCTAATTACATGTGTCAATGACATCAAACTCATACTTACACGGATATCATCAACAAAGGAAACTGCATTTGGAGGTTTTGCTGACAGTAAGAGGCCACTTGTCAGTCTGATGGAACCATCTGTCGAGTTTATTATGAAAAGCATTTTAAATGATGCATCACCGGTCAGTAACGAACTTATTACTTTTCTTAAAGCATCTGCATATGTAGGATCTAGGTTCATTTTCATTCAATAAAATTTCTGCAACAAATTCAGTGCTGTCAGTTATTTTTGTATCTAACTTAAGCAGAACATTGGGTTACTGATTTTGGATGTATGGAACTTGTCTAGGAATTCTTTGATAACTGCGTTGTTGCCATTACTTTGTGGCAATGTTCATCTTGTCTGAGTTATTGCTATTTCATGATTAATTTTTCTTTGTAATACACCAAGTTGACAATGTTTCCATTATCTTTTGAAAGAGGCGGGTGGGCAAAGTACTTGTTGAGCTTGGAATATGGAGAAGTCAGGAGGAATTATTTGGTGGTTTGCCATGTATCTCAATCGTTCTTCATCATTTACTAAAGGAACTTCCTACCGACATTGTTTGCTTTCATGCTGTGGATATCCTTCATCTTATCAAGTGCAGCAATGATAACTCCTATGATCAGGTAATTATCATTTGTTGAAGAGACCTATGCAATGAGACTTTGCATTTGTTCAAGAGCAAACAGTTCTGTTTGTTGCCATATTTCCGCTTTCCACTTTGCTCTTTTCTTTTTTCCTTTGTTTCGTTTTTGTTTTTTGTTTAGACATGAACTTGTTGTATGTTTATTGATATTCTTTTTCTTGAAGCAGTATTTGAATTACAGGTTGGTTGGACTAAGGCTGTGTGAACAGATATCTCAAATCACCACTGTTGATGCTATTGTCAATGAAGTTATTCATGTACTGTTTTCTGTTTACTTGGACGCACTTTGGATTTTTATCACTTTATTTTACCGTTCTTGTATCTTTCTTTGTTTCATAAACTAGTTTTAAGTTTTCTATTGTAGATTTTCTCTTAAATTTTAGTGCTGATATGTTTGTTTTCTTGGTGTATTTATGTTTTACCATAAAATGCACCATCAGGTTGTTTCTGAATATGGGCTTGATGAGTACCTGAAGGTGGTTGATGCTTATCTCGATATTGTTCTTCAAAATCAGATGGTGAGTATGGAGGTGCTCTTCAATTTGTATCTATTGGGAATCTCTCTTTGTTGCACTAATGAAGAAAGTAAGAAGAGTTTTATGCCAAAATGTTGTACAGTTATTAAAAATTCAATGATAATATTTCAATGCACAGTTATTCTTCACTTTTCAATTGCATCATGAATGGGAATGTGAGTTACACACAGAAAGAATTCCGACTCTGGAAAGAAAATTGAAAGGAAGCAGACTTTTGAATCACTTTTCATGATAGAAGGAAATCTTCAGTTGTAGTAAAACCATAATAAAAGTTTTTCATATATATATGTATATATATATATATAAGTCGTTTGTTACTTGACTTGTATTTTATGTGCTAGGTCATAGTGTTTCTTTCCCTGTTTTGAGCAGTTGCCTTTTTTTTATTCATTTGTTGTAGTATATCCAATCCTTCTGAATACATTGGTTATGCAGGATGGCCATCTAAAGACTATTTTGGAATGGATCTCAAAGTTGGCATCTGATAAGGTGTTAGCTGAGGATGAACTAGCAAGTTTGCAATCCATCTTGGTGAAGCTTCTTTCTCATTTTAAGAACGTGGAACATGTGTTTTCTTTGGTAATCTTCTAAACTATTTTTTAGACGCAATATTCTTCAATCTTGGTTCGTTCCCCTCCCCCTTCCCTCCATCAGCTTTTCCTTACTATTTTTGATGGAAATTTCCCTACAGATGTGCTGATAATACTTGGTAACAGTTTACTTTTTTTACGTTTCTGTGTAGTACCGTAGCTTGGGCAATTACAGAACTATGTTATCACATCACTATTGAGTGGCTGCTGCAATTTGTTGTTTTGTAGAATCATTTTCTTCAGATCTTAGATATGATGCATGGGAGCTCTCATAGCATTGTCAATATGCATATACTTGATATGGCTACAAGGTAACTTTTATTTGTTTTATGGTCCTAGTTCATGCAGTTAAGGTCTTGTCTTGTCTTGCCTTATTATTATTATTTTTGGGTTCTGCTTATTGCTGCCATGGGCTATTTTGCTTTACCTGATGCCGTCATAATCTGTTCGCATCCATTACTGCATGAGACTCTTGGACTTGTTTTTATATGCTATATCTTAGTGAAAACCAAAGACTTGCCTCAATATTCTCATCATAATAGCTCTATTGCATGTTAAAAATTGCACTGGCACTCAGGAAGCATGGAATAGGTTATGCATCCTTAGGAATTTTTGGTCACATGTACATGGAGCAGCTTGAGGTTTCTATTTTGCCAGAATGCACACCAAATATTTCGTAGGTATTAACAACAATTATTTCTTGATATGACAGTCAAAGAAGTGCGGCGTCATAAAATTCTAGAAATCTAGTCACCATTGCTGACATTCATTTACCTTATGACAATTAGGTAGCTGTATATTCCTAGGGCTACATTGATTCTGGTTTGACACAAGTTTGTAAGCATGTGAATTGTTTTAAAACCTTTGAAGTTCCATGACAGGTCTGGTAGTAGTTTTCAAAACCTATTCAGGAATTTGAAACCTCATTGATCATTGCTATTGTGGATTTCTGTTGGTTTTTTTCTAGTTTGTGCTGCATTCTTTTCCTTTTGTTTATTGTTGAAGGGTATTTGTATTTTGAGTTTTTGAAGTGCATCTAGCTAATCCCATACTTGTGTTATTGAGCAGGGATGGTTATCTACATGATCCAACAACAATACAGTTACTTTTTGAAATATCACAGGCTTTACATAGTGATACTGATCTTGTAAACATGAAAAATGATGATAACCAACAGCAAGCACGTCTGATTTCTCGTTTTGTCAGAATGGTATTTTTTTAAATCTGTTATGATCCCTTAGGTAGTGATTACTTTTGACTATCAATGCGATTTGTTGATATTGCCCTTACTCTACGTATAGGTAGACCATGGAGTAGTATATGAACGGCATTTAGCATTTCTTGTGGAATGTCGTGGGGCCTTTGGCAGTATTATTGAACTTAAGGTATACATTTCTCTCTCTTTCACTTTTGGATTTAATTTTGTTTGCCATTTGAGCCATCCCCTGACCCTTCCCCCCAAATGGAAAAATAAGGTTTAGTCCCTGCAGACTACAGAAATTGTAAAGTTATAAATTAGTGCAATGGTAAAATATCATTTTGCACCCCCTCCCCCCCAAAAAAACCACCAAAAAAAAAGAAAAAAGAAAAGAAAAAGAGAACAAAACTTTATAATTCAATTCTGCCCCCAAGAAAATTGTTTGGCTTTGCCCCTTATTTGAGTGATTGAGATAATGTGTGGTAGAAGGATTCATTATAAATTTGTTTTGTTCAATCAAAACTTACTTATCAGGAGAATATTGCATTTATTGAGAAACAATTGATAAAAGGAGCCATCAGCTATTTTTAAACTCAGGCCACAACTTAATGGAAGAATATTACAGAATGAGAATTGACGCAATGGTTTTTCTCAGATATGGATCCAGAATGTTGTCCTAGCATTGACTATGATCATGCCTTCTATTCGTAGCAACAGTTACAGTTCATGTATTTGTCAAATGTATTATTGTATTATTAAAACATATTTGTATTGACTTCCAGAAGCTTATGTTGGCATTTTGTTTTCCACCGATTTTTGCAGGAAATTCTTGTTCACTCTAGTAATTGTTTAGCTACAAAAGCTCTCAAAGATGGGAAAAAGCATACTGGTTTTGTAAAGTCTTGCATAGCATTTAGTGAAGTCACAATTCCTTCTATTCCGGGTCACATCAAGCAATTGAATCTTTTTCTCGAAACTGCAGAGGTAATGTTCCCTTCAACTAATAAAGTATGTAATATTGCATCCTAACTATGAATCTGACCTTATTTATATGGCTATTTATTAGGTTGCACTGTTAGGTGGTTTAGTTTCTCATTCCGATGACCTGATAGATTCAGCAATCAACTGTTTACAGAGTTATGATTTGGTGGAAGGTAATTGTTTAGTATTCTTTTGAACTGTCCTGCTGATTTTGTGCCTTTTTTGTCTTTCAATGAAGTTAATGAATGATTTTAAACTAGGATGTCTTGGCTTCCATCAAATCATAAAGTTGATGAATGATTTTAAAAATCATCTTATTCTCATTCATCAACTTGCTTAATGTTTATGATAATTTAAAAAACAATGTGAGCCAAAACATCCTAGTTTAAATTATCATAACTTTAAGCTGGTTGATTTTTAAAATCATCGAACCCCTTGTCCTTTTTTAGTGCATCATTGTATGAACAATCTAAGCATGACTAAAAACTTATCTGTAGTGCTCTTACCAGCCAAGAATCTATTCTGAAAATGCCCGACTAGCCTTTGAAGAATAGGTCTCATCCAATTAAAATCACCATTAGAAGTATTTTGGAAAGAATTGGCTAGAGTTGGGTTCATACCTTATGGGATGAGAGTAATCTGACCTTTCCAGATTTCTTCTGGAATCGGTCCTACCTGGAGAGTCTGCTGAACAAAGTTAAAATAGTGTAGAACCCGCAAATGTCGATTTCCTTTGATAAAACAAAGGTTGAATTCCATCTTGAGTGCCTGTTTTCTTTATCTTCTTTCTATGTTGGAATAATGTTACTTGTTTTTTTAATTTGATGTTGTAATTGTATAAAGGTTAATGTAATTCATTTGTAATGTTTTACTTCAGGCTCTCGAACAGTTGATTCTGATGGGTTACTTTCCTCCATTCGAAAATTATGCAGCCTCCTGATTATGGTTCCGGGTAATTTATTGGTTTATTGTTAACTGAACTTTCTATTAATGCAATATATGTGGATAGAGCCACTCGAATTATATTCGGTTTCACTGCTGCATTCATATACCAGTCTGATTATTATTTGCATTCATTTTTCTTTTTGTCTGTGAATGAATTATTTGTTGAAATACGTTATTAAGTTGTCTAATCGATGAATTATTTGTTTAGTTTTTCTATTTCTTAATTCAAATCTTCGAACAATTGTGAAAAGCTTAAAAATTATTTTACATCTAGGAGAAAATGAACAAATCTTTTACTGCAATATTGTATGTAGTTAAGGAAACATGTACAGCTTACTCCATACATTTGATGCAAACACCTTATCCTTGTATGAATTTAACTACACAATTTATCAAGTTCACTGATGCTAATTTAAACTAGAATCTTACTTTAGGAAATAATTAGTGTCTGATTATTTTTACTTATTTAGGTAATACTGAGGTAGGAATTTTACATATACCGAAGAACATATTATCGATCATTCATTCCCGGTCATGGTAAGTCCTATTACGTCTTAAATGCTTCCCAATCAATACATGTTCCATTCAGTACCATTTGTTCTGTAATCTAATGTTCTAGGAATTTTTTAGGTCACCGAGACTGAGCGCAAGATTATTCTGTGCAATAATTTCTTTATCAGCTACACTGTCACAAGAAAGGCTCCCATACCATGCCGATCATCCAGAGGTCCGTCAACTTAGCTTCTATATAATGGTTTCTGAACTTCAAGTATGATCTGTTCAGATCCATAAAATCAGTATCAAATCGAAATCTAGAAACCTGAAATATTTACATTCTGTAACATAGATTTGATCTTGCTTCTAAAATAATTTCACATATTTCGTTTCTTTTTCTCTATATTTGCAGATTATGGGCAATGATTTGTTATTCTTTGGTGATTCATCTTATGTGCGCGAACTTCTCTCATTGACAGAGTCTGTTCTTCAAAACCTTGTTGACATTATTGAACATGAACCTTCCAGGGTAAACATATTTTCTAAAACTAGTTTTGAATGGATGGACCATTTTATTCCCTTTTCTATGACTGACTGGTTATGCTGGCTTAAGGCTGCCCGTGGAAGCGTGTCGCTTGAAGCTTGTAACTGCATAGTTTCGTCTTTCAAGGTAGGTTCCTCTATTCTCCTTTTATGGAATTGATCCGGAATTCTCAATCTTGATCTCATAGACTTGCAACAAAATTGTAATATTTCCTTCAATGGTTGGCTGCAAGCATAATATCTTAACCATATTATATATTTGTCGATACCACTACTTTGTGTTTTCTCGTGTTCATGCAGATAAATGAACATATATTACCCATCTGCTCAAAACTGATAGAAACTGCCAAATCGTGTTTGGATGCCAAGGACAAGTATCTCACTTCCACCATTAGTTTTCTGGACAAGAACATGCATGCTGCAACTGTCCCATCGTCCATTACCATCTGATACACATGCAAAAATGTCTTCAATCCTTATGTCGATCGGATTGATCTCCTCGTTACACACATTTGGACATGAATATGAAGGTATGATCCCCTAAATACATAGAAAGAACTTCTAAGAAATTAAGTATTCGTATTGCGCATTCATCATGGAATCCGTATAACATTATTCAGAACCAGAAAATAGGCCAGGAAATATTCTTTGCATTCCTTGATTGTTAGATTTGGAAACCGTTTTTGAAAAGAAAAGCTACGTGTATGGTTTATAGATCATTCATTTACTTTGATGTAAACTGTCTCCCCTTGTTACAATATCAGGCTGCTATTTGAGCGACTAGATGTGGTTGTAACTCATAGTTAACCAAAGTTATGCAAATAATTTGCTTGAGGATATAAATATACTATAGCCTGTAGTTGTTCATAAGTCCGATCACGTTGAATGTTAACTTCCCAACAAATTCTTATTTATAAAGCAACTTTGGTGGTAAATGAATTGTTGTTATTTCTTGGGATCTTGAGTTCGAGCATCACGAATGCTAATGCTAGGGTATAAGCGTTCAATGCCAAATGGTTGAGAGTTATCTATGAACAAATGTTACCTTATCCTGATCCTAGATTAATAAAAAAATATCTACAATTTTATCTAGGTATCTAAAGTATTTTTAATTAAAGTAGGTATCTAAAATATATTGTATTTTTTATCTAAATATCTAATATAATTTAAAATTAATGTACGTGTTAATTTTAGTAATTTTAGATACTCAAGATAAAAAGGAGATGGTATATGTTAAATTATTAATATCCTTATAATTTTCTTAAATCATTAATTTTAAAAAAATCTTCTAAAATACAAAAATTATCACAAAATCTCTAAATTCTTAATCTCTCAAATATCTAAATATCATCTGTTATCGTAGAAATCAACCATTGTCACCAGCCCTTTTGAGACTAGTGCAAGCCAAAGAACAATCGTTGGTGTAAAGGGAGAAAAGGAGAAGTACAACAGCATTGCGTTTCGATTTTAGAGAGATGAGCATCCTACAATGGGTGAATTGGGTTAAAAGAGGCTGTTGAAAGGGGGAAGTGGTTTATATATATATATATATAGAAAATAATGATTTTAGGGTTTTTTAAAAATAGATATTTTAGGCGCTTTTTAAGGAATTAAGAATTTTATATTTTTTAAATAAAAATTAAAACATATGTCAAGTAATGATTGGATGATGATTATTTTAAATAAATTTCGTAATTTAACCTTAAAATGGTAACTCAGTAATTTTTTTCCCAGAAAATCTTTAAGCAAACACAAAAGAAATATATTTTTATATCAAAACCCATCTTTATATTATTCTCTAAAAGAATCAAAGGATCGCCCTTTTTCCCTTATCTTTGGTTGGACCGCGATATCAATCTTGGTATTATGTTGTCAATTATCATTTGTTTTTCTTTTAATTTCTTATCTCACATCTTTGATTTTTTATTATTTTTAATAATTTTGTCTTTTGACACGTTTTCATGTCTTTTGAGATATTTTCGGTCTTTTTTATTGGTCGTTTGATTGTTCATTTCAATTTTTTAGGTTGAATTTGACGTTACCATGACTTATCAATATGATGCTTATTTATTATCATATTGACATTCTCTGCTTTTGACCATCAAATTAAATTTAGATACACGGTTTGTGTTCTTAGATAGTTTTTTAACAACGTTTGACTCTGATTTGCAATTGTCGGAATCTTTCAATGGTTTGATCATTTGTTGTGGTTCATTTGTTAATGCAGTCCGATTTATTAGTATTTATATTTTGTTCAAGTATTGTAGATGGAGTTTTTCACATTTTCTTTGTATAATCCTTTTATGATATCAAGTGTCTAATTTATTGTCTCAATTGTTATAGGAGAATGTCTTAATTATATGTTTAGTTTACTATTATAGTTGTAAATCTTCATTATAATTTTAAATATTTTCTTTTTTTAATAAAATCAATTATTTCTATTTTTATAAAAAAAATATGATTTGAAGATTTATTTTCAATTAAGACTTTAAAAGAATATATTGACTTTATAAAACCTTGATGTTTTATTTTCATCTTTAATAGAATAGAACCTAAAAGGGGAAGTCATTTAATAAAAGGTAAATTACGCGTTTAGTATTTAAACTATCAATTTTAATATGTTTTAGTACTTAAACTTGTATTTTTTTAAAACTATACATAACTTTTAGTTTTTATTTCATTTTAGTACCCTACCGTTAAAAACTTAACGGGTAGACTGGCATGGAATAGCTCTGATGAACGGATGAGCAATTCAAACGGTAGACCACAAGAGAATGATGAGTCCACCAACATAGTCCAGTTTCAAGCCCACTGGACGGTGGACCATGGAGATCGGAGGATGAAGAAATCGAAGAATCCATTGTCGATTTTGGGAGATTGAGACGTTTCCTGATGAAACATAGGCCAAAATAGCGTTCAGAGGGTCAAAAAGGTGCATGCTGAAAAGTTTGAGCTTCATCGGTTGACGGATGTGATGGTCGGCGATTGTAGACGCGGGGGCCGACGAGCTCGTCCGTTAAGTTTGTAACAGCGGGGTACTAAAATGAAACAAAAACTAAACATTATGTGTGGTTTTGAAAAAAAAATGAAAGTTTAGGTATTAAGATAAACCAAAATTAATAGTTTAAATACTAAATGAGTTGTTTACCCTATTATAAATTTATTGTTACCAAAAATGGGCAATGAAGAAAATGAGAAGCTAACTTGTGGGTTAAGGCGGAGATGGAAGAAAATATTGATTTGAACCAACAAAATTTTCAATCAACTTGTTGTAATTAATAACATTTTATTTTTTGTTTTTGTCCTAAAGAATGCTTCAAATTGAATGACAACATTGAGAAAAATGGAAAAATTGTTTCGTTGTCAAATGACATAGCTGTAACCCAAGCCAAATATATATTCTTCACAAATAGCTAAGGATACGTTCATCTTAACTCAAGACTTTTATATACATATATGGGATTCATTTACAACACTACAAACTTAATATGCTTTTCTTAGCTTATTGATCAATTTTACCTATGCAATTATTAGAATCCAGAATCTTTAAAAAGAATTCAACTCTTTATCCGATTAATTTTTAACAGTTAAACTTATCAATATAATTGGACTTGAGCAAATAAAGTATTAAATCAATCTAATGAGTATACTTTTTTCATAATATGTTTCCATCGATATATATTTAATGGATGGAAGCTTTTTATATCAAATAAATTGTTAAACACTTTAAATTTACTTGAAACTTGGCATATATAATTTACGTTAAAAGAACATGGAATACAATGATCATATTATTAAAATATTAATTAGATAAAAAGTCAAATTATATATGATAATTCATATATTTTATGTTGTGCTCACAAACTATATCATATATATATTATAGAAATTTGGAGATTATTATATACTACATATTATATAATACGTCATGTTTAATATCATCAAATATGAGTTTTTAATCTAAAATTATTTAAAAAAACTTGAGTAATTTAAATCTAAACACATTTCAGTTATTAATCCGATTATTTATGCATTATATTAATATTGTTATTATAAAAAAAAGTCGTCCAGTTTTCTGAAAGAAAAACAATAAACATATTCAATCTCAAGGTTACTTTTATATTTTTGAATTGTAAGTAAATTAAATTGCGGTCAAAATAATCCATATATATGGAGAGTGAGGTGCATGAGAAAATTAAGGTGAACAAATGCTCTATAGTGAAGGACAAAAGGTTAGGTATATGAGTGAATTATTGTCAAATTAGGGCATGGACATGGGATGACTTTTGAGCATGGGAATTAGGTTTAATCCCAATGCTTAAATTTTCTTTTAATTAACATTTTCAAGTTCATCTATCTATTCACTTCAGAAAAAAAAAGTCCATCTATCTATTGAACATGTTAATATTATCAATCGTAAAAGGGAATGCTGTTTTTCCTAGAAGTCTTAGGTTTGAGCAATTACGTCTACAGGACGTATGCGTTGTCAATAGATTAAGAAAACTATAAACAAATATTATCTTGTAATTATCCTAAACTATTCAAAAAATTGATCAACTATTAATAATCACTTTCATATAATTTTGTTTAAATAATTAACCTAAAAAATACTTTCAGTGACAAAGAGTGACATGTTCCATGACTTGGGCTCTACTAATATTGTCTTCAAGGTTGTCCTGAATTTATCTATACTAAAAAGAAGACGTATATACTATACAAATACATTAAAGTATCCAAAATCATTTATTATAATTTATGATTATTGAACTAAAAAATAATTTGATGACTAATTCAATTTAAATCAAGTCATAAAAATAAAATTTTGATTAAATCTTATATATAGTAGGGTTAAACATGGGATTTCAAAGTTTTTAGGATCTCCTCGTTGCTATTAAGATCTCACTCGCGGATTTTGAATTCGATTGTTTATTTCTTTCTTTGAAAACATTGGAGTGAAAATATTATAATAATAATTATTATTATTATTTTATCTAAAATGATTTGTTTTTTAGAATTTATGTATGTGAAGATAGGCTTGTAAATGAACTGAACGTTCAGCAAACCGTTCATGAACTGTGTGGCGGGAAGTTCGTTCATTTATTAAATGAACGAACATGAACAAGATTTTGCGTTCGTTTAATTAAATGAACGAACACGAACAAAGGGTTAGTTCGTTCATTTACGTTCGTGAACATTCGATTATATGTTCGTTTATGTTCGTTCATTTATGTTCGAACAGAGGTCAAGTTGAATATGTTACGAAGATTATTGAAGTTGTTTGAATTTCAAGAAGATTGTTTTGTTGAACATATTAACTTTAAGACTTTATTATGTTCATATAACTTATTTATGATTTATGTATGTTTTTGTCGTATTCGAACAAATTAACTCTAAAGTTGCAGGTTATATTAATGAATTTTAAGTTGTTATTCTTGTTGTTTACTTTTTTTTACATTCTTTTGTTGTGTTCGAATAAGTTTATTTTTTGTGTTTATGATGTTCGTTTATGTTCGTTTATCATTTAAATGAACGAACATGAACAAGCTATATTCCTTAATGAACGAACATGAACAAAAAAAATTGTTCGTTTATGTTCGTGTTCGTTCATGTTCGTTTATTTATTAAATGGACGAACATGAACATACCTCCGTTCGTGTGTGTTCGGTTCATTTACATGCCTATGTGAAGACTTAAATTATTTGAGCGATGATTAGTTTTGTTTATGAGTTGGATGGACTAATCTGTATTCTCATTTTTTAATTTTTTTATTATTAATAATATTTTATAACTAAATTTAGATAATAATAATTAAGTTAAAAATTTTCGTGATAATTTTTATGATCTAATTATATATATTTACTTTACGTTGATATTCTATAAAACTTCATTGTAATTTTTTTTAATAAAATCAACTGTTTTTGTTTGTATTTAAAAAATAGCTATATTGTGAACCTAACTTTGTATAATAGACATAAGTAAGGAATATTTTTAGTTTCGTGTAGGACTTTAACATATCTTCCTCGTAAATTTTCAATCTTTAATTTTCAACAAAAATTAAATAAAACAAAATAACCTTGAAATTCGTGAAAATACATTTATGACTTTAATGTCATCAATTCGAACACTCAAGTAACGATGTCGTTTTCTTTTCCTTCTTTAGTGAACTGTAGATTAATGCATTCATAAATTAAAATATTAAACCTTAAATTTTAATTAGATTAAATTTAAATATTAAATGAATCAAATACTATTAAAATAAAATAAAATAAATTTTACACCAACTATACACGTCAAACAACAATCTTAAGTAACGCACTTTAATGGATAAAAGAAGACAAAACGTGGCCGTAATAGACACAAATGCAGGCACGATTATTAAACGTGGATTGGTCAAAACAAGATGTGGGACTCACATCTCCGTTAAAGAACCCTGTCCGTCGATATTGTTGACCTTTTCTTTTACCCTCACGTGGAATCAAAATGCGGCCAATCACAGCGGCGGCCAATTTTAGAAGCAGTCAAAGGCCACTTCCAAAAGGAAATTGTAGTAACAAGTGATATTTAAGAGTATACAATTATAAAAATATTAACTCATATTCATATATAGGATTTTGGTATTTTGTTTTAGATAAAATAAATATATATAGAGGATTGAACATGGTTATCTATTAAAATTTTCATTGTATTTTTTTTATATTTCTTATTTATGTATATTTAGAATTTTGTATTGTTATATTTAATAATTTAACTCGTTTAAGGACGATGCATGATTTTATATTGGGGAGTAAACTTCTAAAATTTTAAGAGGAGAAAACTTATAAAATTCAATTGAGATGAAAATAGATTATCAATGGAAAAAAATATATAAAAAACCCTAAACTATAAAATAATTTAAAAATAGTGATTTTTTTTTCTCTTGTAACATGTTTTTTTAGGGTTAAATTTATGATAATTTGATATTCATTTTTGATTTGGAATCTTAAACTAGGTTCTTTCATATTGATAATTACTTGCAATTATTTAAGGTAGATTGTATTTGAGTTGTCATAAAATCAATTGTTAATATCAATGTTTTTAAAATCGGACCGGACTTTAAACAGGTGAAGGTATTGGTTCACTAGTTCAATCGGGTTAAACCGTAGTTAAACCGGTTTATATAAAATAATATTTTTTTAAAATTTTACATAATATTCAAAGCAATATTATAATATATATATATATATATATATATATAACACTCTTTTTAAGTTCACAATATTAAAAAGTATAAAATATCACAAGTCATAACATATATAAGTTAAATACCATAATATCAAGTGAAACAAAATGATTCAAATCAACTACAACATAATATTTAAGTTAAATACCTAATGAAATTCATCAACAACTAAATAAAAAAAATACATAATTGATACAAGTATCAATCATCATAATATTTATTGAAATTGATTACCTCAAATTCCAAAATATTGGGAAAAGTTTCTTCATCAGTTGAACTACCACCGCCATCACCACTTTGAATTTGAAACTCCATAGCATCACTTTGAACTTTAAAGTCCACAGCATCAAGATCTTCATAACCTACCAATATGATAAATAAATACAAAGTTAAATTTAAATTCTCAAACAATACTTAACAATTAAAAGTAAAAGTGTAAAACATATTAAATAATAAATATAATTATATAACTAAAATAAACAAGCAAAGATTAACCTTCATTTTTTTGATGATAATTATATAAATAAAATAAATTTGGGGCTGAAAAAAATCATAACAAACGACGTCATTTGGTTTAATTTAAAAAAAGGAACCGTTGGTTCCCAACCGGTTCACACCAGTTTTGCCGGTTCCCAATCGGTTCTACCGGTTCTTTAGCGATTCATTACAAAACTGGTTTTGGAGGCTGATCGAACCGGACAGGCAACTGGTTTCCGGTTCAACCGATCGAATTGGCCGGTCCGATCCGGTTTTGATAACATTGGTTAATATATCATCATCATTATACTTATTTTTATGTTAGTATTTATAATATTTATCTTTCACTATCGTAAACGATGTTTGTTTGCATATTATATTTCTTTTAATTATTTGATTAAATTATTTTAACACTTCTTATTATAGTCTTATTTTTATTGTTAAGAAGTTAGTTTAATTTTTATAAAAAATAATTTATAATTTTGTATAAAAGAGATATTTCTTTTCATTATTTAGTAAAAGTTAATGATTTTTTCACTATTATTTTTAACTTTGAAGACTCTTTATCTCAAGAATTTCTCTTGGAAATAAACTAGGTAGGCAGCCATGGCCATGAAGTTGAGGCACTGTCCACTTGACGCACCATCTTACCTAACTCTCCTCTCATTGGAAAACCCTTTTCATGGTTTGAGAAAACAGTATCTCATCACTCCTTTCACATTTGGTCTTTGTTCAAACCCCATTTTAAATGCCATTTGCCACCCCCTCTCTTTAATTCCTAAAGTCACTTATATAATCCCTTCCTCCCATTTTCTGCACCCCGTTGATCAGAAACAAGCAGGGTGAATGGAGCCCTTTTTTCAGGCTGTAAAAATGGAGCCCGTCGATCATAAACGAGTAGTCAACGAGATGGACTTCTTCGCCGGTGATATATCTTCCAGACATGTTAACGCCGTAGATGATGACGACCATCATCATATGAAGATAGAAACTGAACATCCTGGGTTGCTGAAAGATCAAGCTGATGATGTAAACGTAAGGGAATTGTCATAAATATACGTGTATAGCAAGTTATATTTACTTGGAACTTTGTCTTTGTTTTTTTGTTTTAGACTGGTTTAAATCTCTGGACAACTAATACTGCACGTGAGAAATCATCACGGAATCTGAAACAGAAACAAAGGGTAATTCAGGTTGGTGAATGCGTATTTTTGAATCAATAAGAGTTTCTGGATGCTAAATATTAGACTACTTATTTTCATGGGTGCAGTTAGCAGATGTCCGAGCTGAATTAGAACGAATAAACGCAGAGAATCAATGGCTGAAACTCACTCTTAACCAGGTGAACAACAACTATTATGCTTTACAGATGCATCTTGTTTCATTGATGCAACGGCAACGAAATCGGGTAGCTGAAAGTCCAGAAGCTAACAACACTGAGGTACAACTGCAGCCGATAATCATATATAATTTCCTTGATGCAATCATTAGTTACTGATATATTTCTTGTGTTTCTTGATGATGTTTGTATTAGATGGATAGATCAATGGAAGATAAAACACGTGGTGAAGGTATGGTGGAAAGACAATTTGTGGATCTGGGTGAATCCGAAAAGGCTGAAAAAGATGAGATTTCGGAATCCTCGTCGGAGGAAAGATCGCCGGAGTTATTAGGTTCGCCTTGGAACACCATTGTTGAGTCTATGGAGAGAAGAGAAAAGAACAGTACTACCCCTGAAGGCCTTCCACAACCTCCAGGATGGTTACCTAACAAAGCTCCCAAGTTGAATACGTCAGAGGACAATGAACAAGCACAACATACCATGGCCATGATTCGAAAAGCTCGCGTCTCGGTTCGAGCTCGATCTGAAGCATCAATGGTAAGATTTTCAGATTAGATTGTTCAAGAATTTTGTTAGAGTTAATCAAGCATCAATGAACAAGCCTACTTTTGTTGAAGTAGATTTTGAGAAAGTAATTAGCACTTATTTCAATGGGTGCAGATTGCTGACGGTTGTCAATGGAGAAAATATGGGCAGAAGATGGCAAAAGGAAACCCTTGCCCTCGAGCTTACTACCGTTGCACCATGGCTACCGGTTGTCCGGTACGCAAACAAGTATGTTTTCTTCACTCAATGTTCGATCCTTAGTTTCAGTGATTAGGGTTCTAATCTATGGATTAAACAGTTGCAAAGGTGCGCGAAGGATCAAACCATCCTTGTCACGACTTATGAAGGAAACCATAACCATCCGCTACCTCCAGCTGCTATGGCCATGGCGTCGACAACAGCAGCGGCGGCATCAACACTACTGTCTGGATCAAGGCCGAGTGCAGATGGGATTATGAACTCGAGTACCATCCCAAAAGGAACGATGCTTCCTTGTTCGCCAAGTTCGGTCACCCTTTCAGCTTCAGCTCCATTTCCTACTGTCACATTGGACCTCACTCACAACCCTAATCAAAGACCATTGAACCAACTTCACCCCATTTCTCCACACTGGCCTCACAATATATCCAGTTTGCCGCATCACCTGCTTGGCCACCCAATTTACAACCAATCCAAGCTTTTGGATACTTTCCTTAGCTCTCAAGGAAACACTGAACTAATTCCAGGCCATTTAGGTCAAAACCAAATGCAGGCACATCCCGTGGCCGCAGCCATCACAGCTGATCCCAACTTCACTGCGGTGCTGGTCGCGGCCATTACTTCCGTTATTGGCAATTCCCATCGAGACACTAGTGGTAATAGCAATAGCACAGCATCAAGAAACACAGGAGACAACAACACTTGAATTATATTATCAGTGAAAAACATTTTGTTTGAAAATTTTATGTATTTCATTTGCATGCAGTTTGTAATTTTTATTTTTCTCCTTAGAAAGTGGGGTATATTTTAGTTATAATTTTCTCTTCTAATTTTAATTACATTTTCAAAAGAAATTGTATACACCTTAGGATCAGATAATAAATAGTAGAGGTCAAACCTTGCAAATTGTAGGCAGCAGCTAGGAATTATTACATGGGGACCAAATTAGATATTGAGGTATCAAGTTACACTCTTCATATATCAGGTATTCATACCATAAGATTGAGAGATAATATATACATATATATATATATATATACTACTGACATACATTTCCTATCTCCATTAGTATCACATGTTTCGCACCATTTTAAACTCTTGTTTTCTTTAATAAAGGTTAATATACATTTTAGTATCCGAAATTGATTTCAAAATTTAATTTGGTATTTAAGTTTCTTTTGTCTAATTCTGTATCTAAATTTGACCTCGAGGTTCAATTTAATACTTAAATTTTTTTGTCCAATAAGGTATCTGAACTTAGTTCAATTTAATACATGAACTTGGCTACTTGATTGAAATTGGTCAAAAATTATAAGTATCAATTAGGTATCTAAACTTGGCTTCAAGTTTCAAGTTGGTATCTAAACTTTTTTCCAATTAGGTATTTGAACTTAGCTTATTGTTTAATTTGGTACTTGAACTTGACTACTTGGCTTAAATTAATAAAGAATTTGGATGAAAAAACCATGATTAAGTGTCAATTCGAACCAAAAAAAACTAAATTCAAAATCATATTTATGCAACATAAACGAAGTCGAATTAGGGTTTTTAATAACCCGTCAATGGGAGATCAGAATCAAATATGGAGATTTATTTCGAAATACTAATTGTCTTCCTCGTGTAAAAGCACTGTTGTCTGCTTGTAAAGGAAAATTGCTTTCTAATGAAGAACAAGTCCGTGGCCACATGTCGACAAATGCTATTGCTAGCTGCTCCATGTGTGGTGCTGCATTAGAATCTTTAACGCATATTGTTCGAGGATGTCCAATAGCAAGATCGGCTTGGTTAAGCTTAGAGAAACCAAATCTAGCTGATGAGTTCTCCCAGATGGACCTGGTTTCATGGATAGACCACAACCTCCGTTATCCGAAGCACTTTCTACTAGTGTCCGATAACTGGGATCTAATGTTCGCATCAATTCTATGGGGGCTTTGGACGCGTCGTGATAAATTTATTTTTGATCCGGAATCACTGTCTATGGATAATGTACATGCTAGTGTTCTACTGGCTGAAGAGGCTATTCAGCCGAAGTTGATAGGGAACAGAGGATATCAACAAGTTAAAAAATAATTGAAGGATAATTGTTGATAAAAATAAATTAAATACCAAGTTTAAAAATATGGTCTGAGGGGAAAACTTGTCAATTAAACTTTATTGTTTGAAAAGCAAGCTGATTCTAGTCCCTTGACGTGTGTCTTAAGCAATCTTTCTATTGTAATAGAATATACTTTGTGACCTAAGCAACCCCTTTTTAACATTGAACAATTTTTTCCTTAAATTGACTTTACTAGCTGCAAATTATGATAGGTAATACTATAGACACATAATTAACATTAAAAAATTTTATTTTCTTTTGTAATTGACTTTACCAGCTAATTACATTAGACTCGTAATTAACATTTAAAACACTAGGCAATAGGTGGTGCAATTTTGACCAATTGGGGGTTACTTTCTGCTAAGGTCAGTGGCTAGTGGCAACGGCCGGCCTATTCCTTTGGTAGGATTTCAGTAAAATAAGTAGTAATTCTACTCACAGTTTAATTTAAAGTTAATTTAAAATAATTTTTAAATTATAATATTATCATGTTCAACCTTCAAATTTTCTCACATTTTCCCAACAACTCATGACAATATCAACGGTTCCAATTAGCTCTCGATAGTCGATACCTCTATTCCCATACACTCGTCCGAACTGGATTACACTCTCAATTTCTTACTAGTTAAGGAAAAAGCCAACAAATTTAAAAATAACATCACAATTAAAATGATGCCACGTGTACGGATACGATCCTCCAAGAAGTCCGCTGATCTAATTCAACACTCCTTGCTTTAAAATACTGGAATAAAGTAGCTCAGCTACTTACATTCATATCTCTGCTCAGTCTACTCTTCTCAAATTTGAATCCATAAACAAAAAATGTAAGAACCGTTTTTTCTTTAATTTCTTAAGTTAAGCTTATCATGTAATATCTCTTTACTATTTTCTCTAATCTTTTTTTATTACATATTCGTTTGATTACAGTTTTTAAGTGAGTTTTTATTTTTTTTTCGTTGTAATTTTGCAGTTCTTTGGCTGAAATATTTAATGATGTTTAGGTTTTAGAATCGCAGAAAACTTAATTGCCTGGAAAAGAACAGTTATTGAGTGATGATCTACTTTTGAATTTGGTTGATATTAGCTTTGAGTTGACTTTGTAAAATTTTAAGTTCGGATTATCCGTTTTAAGTTTATAATAACTTCTGTAGTTTTTTTCCTGTTGGGATGGTGATATATTTGAGGATTTTCGGTGTTTGATACCTGGAAAAAGTGAAGGTTAACATCCGTTTTGATTTCAATTATTTGCAACTAATTTTGTAGAGCAACTATTTGCTTTTAATTAAAATTCCTCATAGCTTGAATCAAACTATTTTGACCTTAGTAGTAATTACTGATGTGCTGTGTTTTCTTAACAACAAAAGATGTGCTCTGAAAATTCAATCATAAAAACCGTGGGTTGATTTTCAAAAATAAACAACAACAACCGTGGAATGATGCCTCAAAAATTCAGCGGATCTGTTTACAGGTTACTCTTTGGGAACAGAACTTAACATGGCAGTGATTAAATGTTGTAGACTTAGGTGAACTGCAGATAGTTTTTATTTCCATGGAGGCAAAAAGTCATTTGTGGGCTACCTGTCATGTGAAAATACTACTACTATTTGTGTGCCGATATAATTTTTTTTTTCAGCTTGCCTTTTTTAGTTCTAATAATATCTGACAAAAATCTTTGCTATTGCCTTTCCGTTGCAGACTGAAGTTATCAGAATGGAGACAATAGTTAGAACTACAGTTATCGCTCTTTTTCTTTGTCTTCTGTTTCCTATTGTCTTTTCGACATCCATTGATAGATTGGTCAGAATTGGACTAAAAAAGAGAAAGTTTGATCGGAACGATCTGTTAACTGCCCAACTTGATTCCAAGAAGGGAGAAACGTTGAGAGGTTCTCTTGGAAAGTATCACCTTCATGGAAACTTACAAGATTCAAACGATTTTGATATTGTGGCACTAAAGAACTACATGGATGCTCAGTACTTTGGTGAAATCGGTATTGGCACACCTCCACAGAAATTCACTGTAATTTTTGACACTGGCAGCTCTAATTTGTGGGTTCCTTCATCTAAGTGTTATTTCTCGGTGAGTTTTATTTTTTAAATTGTTATTGGAGTACTTAAGAGTTGGACTTGTATAAATCTGGAATATTTCTAACGATTGGTGTCTGGGTGCAGATAGCTTGCTATTTCCATTCAAAATATAAATCAAGTCGTTCACGAACGTATGAAGCTAATGGTTTGTTGCTGCTTCTTGGTTCATTCTAACATTCCTGAAATTTGTCTTCTTGATTATGATTTTCGTTATATCATAAACTAGTTATTGTCTTTTGACCGAACCATAAATGCCGCTGGCAACACTTTAAGTAGTTGGATTTAGGTGTTAATATGCTTCTCCTTTTGCATTTTTTTATGTTATATATAAGCTTCATCTCTTGCAATTGGAAAACTCAAATCTGCTTGCAGCCTTGTTGTCATGCAGGTGACTGGGAGGATATTAAAACTAACTGTTGCTTATTTCAGTCAAAGTGAGGATAATGAAGCCGATGCCTATATGTTTTCCTTTAAATGACTCCACTTGCAGGTAAACCAGCGGATATTCAATATGGCACTGGATCCATTTCTGGATTCTTTAGTGAGGACTATGTAACAGTTGGCGATCTTGTAGTTAAAAATCAGGTATCTTCAATAAACTTAGTATTATATATGTTTGTGTTGTAATTCACCAGCATTGCTGTTGGTGATGGTCCGTGTTTAGAAGTAACTTTTTTTTTTCTTCTTCTGCTTAGGAATTTATTGAGGCAACAAAGGAGCCCAGCTTAACATTTTTGCTTGCCAAATTTGATGGTGTACTTGGTCTTGGATTTCAAGAGATTTCGGTGGGAAATGCTGTGCCTGTGTGGTATGCAATAGCCTCTTTTCTGTTTTTTATTTTTTTGGCTAATTCAATTTTATTACCCAGAGAGCAGATAACTGTTACAAAAACAATCAGAGTTTTGATTACATTTGATCACCCTACTTACAAAAACAAACAACGATCAAACTATACCCCAATGATTACAAAGAGTAATATTAACACTATCTAATCTATTTATAATCCTACCCCTTAATTGTAAACCAACAATATCCTTAATGGCATGGAGCATTTCTTCAACATTTCTTGATCGACCTTGGAACAACCTTTTGTTTCTTTCTTCCCATAGAATGTAGATTAGAGCATTCGAAGCAATCTTCATAATTGTAGTGAGTAAGGATGCTACTGCCAATGCTTAGGATTTTTATACTGTTAAGTGCTCCAGGTACAATATGGTCAATCAAGGTCTTGTTAAGCAACCAGTTTTTTCATTTTGGCTTAACCGCAACCCCGAGGATGATTTTGGCGGGGAATTGGTATTTGGTGGGATGGATCCTAAACATTTCAAGGGAGAACATACTTATGTTCCTGTAACACGGAAAGGATACTGGCAGGTTAGGATTTTAAACATTCCTTGTGTGTCATACAACATATTTGACTTAATATATTCCCTTTATAATGTTACTGTTTCTTTGGCTTGCAGTTTGATATGGGTGATTTCCTGGTTGGTAACGAAACAACAGGTGAGAAATTGTCCTCAAAGTTATCTCATGAAAATAATTGGCAAATATGTTTCATGATATTCTGCTTAACATGATAAAGATAATTGATAAGGGACATGCAAATATTTTGTAGTCTTTTATTTGTTTCCTTACATTCTTCCTCCA